GTGACAATATTCAGCGCAACACAAGCCTCACCCGTTCTATTATCAGCAAATCAGAAAACAGCAGTCCGTTAGTAGGCATTGCTTTTATTTATTTTGGTTTATTGAATCATTATTTCAAGATATTGCTTGGTTAGCCAATCAAGTGCCACTGAATCACTTGCGATTTATTTATTCAGCATTCAACCCAACTCATTCAATAATAAAAACCCTCACCAGGGTGTCACTCTCGACACCCAAGTTGTCCTGTTAACAAGGGTTGTGTATTGTAGGGGTGAAACGATACAAGTGACTCACATAAACGTTGGGGATCATTCAATGAGTAGTAAGTAATTTAATTCAGCAAGTGTATCGTCTTGTATCGATACAAAAAAACCCGTATCATGTACCGTATTGTCTCATAAAACTCACGATGCACAGGTGTACTGATGTATCGTTTCACGTTTCGTTAGTGTATTGTAGTGGTAACTAGAACAGCATAAACTCTTCACCAGCTAGCTGTTAATGTTCTAGACAAGCTCTGAAATTGTTCAACAAGTGTTTACTCGTACCCCATTCACATGCCCCTCTATACATATGTGTGTATATATAGAGAATCTCACCCGAGTGTCTTTTGATATCAAATATATCGACACGAGTTGATAAAAGTGGAAAAATTCCAAGGCTTGCCGAGGATTTTTGCCACTTTTATCAACGAGTGTTGATATATTTGATATCAAAAGACACAAGGGTGAGATTTTATTTATCATCCAACATCATTCCTCCAGCTTTTTCAATTTGTAAACAGTAATTAGCAGTGTCTTCAGTGTAAAAAGTACTGCTAACAGCTTCAGTAGCAGAGCCATTAGTGATGTCATTTGATTGTGACGTCATGGTAACCAATGACATCACAATGGTCTTCATAGTATTGTGATGTAATTTCATTGCAGCGATATCTACAATGTAGATATTGCTTGATCTCATCCAAGTGATATCTCCTGTGGGAGCCAGTTTTGGATGATAAATGTGCTTACGTGTGTATAAATACATACATGAGTATACTTGTCATGTAAACGAGTTTACTCATGTGTGTATATTTACACCAGGAGCAAATTTGCATCATGTCTGGAGCAGGTGCAAATGTAAATGTAAATGTATATGTTGCAATTTGAACGTTTATATCAACGTAAGAGGATGATCTAATTAATATGTGTTCTTTTGCCAACACCAAACAAATTGTCAACAGTTGCCAACCTTTATGCGTATATACAGAGTTGAGCAGAAGGTGTTTCCTTTTGGTTTCAAGGGGTCAAAACTTTGTTTACAAATTAAACCAAACATGTTGCTTCACCAAAAAATTTTGGTGAAGTAACTCTCTTCTCATTCAACTTGATTGGAAAACAACCTGTTTTGTGTTGAAAGTCATGAACAGACTGACGAATATGTGTGCCTTACACAATTCACACACTTTATTTACACACCTAAGATGCTTTTCATGTGAACACATAGTAAATTTACATATACTCATGTATGTATAGTTACACGTGTAAAAATACTTACGTCAGTCAATGCTGTGCATGTGAATGGGGTATAATAGTGTTCTGACATCATTATGTTCATATATTTACACATCTGCAATGTCATCTGTTTTGGCCAGCTGAGGAAAGTAAGTTGGTTCTAAGCCCACCTGCCAATTTCTAAAAAGGCCTTACGATCAGTGTACTCACTGACACAACACTCTGTCTTATATACCCGTGAGATTAACTGAAGTTGACTGTCGATCAAACTGAACCAGTCCAGCGTGAAATTATGCGGTTGTTAATACACAGCCATTGACTACACCAATATGCGTCTGTCAGATCTTTTTCACTACCTGACAGTTCTCTGTGGTATAAAAGGCTTTATTGACTGAGTGGTGATTGAGCATTGTGTGGTAGGGTGTTCTGTAGTGTGTTGGGAGGTATAGAATACTGAGGTTCATAATGGTGTACATTGACTTTTATTGTCGGGATCGGGCTTTATCATTGTATAACCTTAACTATTTTAGAAGCTTAAGACATCCAATGTCTCCAGGCTGGAATCTGTACCGAGAAACCTAATTTTGTCGTATGAGGCAACTTAATATATCAAGTGGTCAGATTTGGTTACTTGCCATCATTGTACCCAATGTCTTGGGATGTTGTTTACAATGTCAATCACTGGTTACTTACTTGATTACTTACATATATACAGCTGAAATATTGCTGTGTTCAGCATTAAACATCTACAAACTAGGGCTGGGACGAGTCCAAATTTACTACCCAGGTACCCACCCCCCTATTACCCGATGGGTAACCGAGTTACCCGTCCCAGCCCTACAACAAACAAATTATTTGGGATTTGAGTTTCTCTAAGGGGAAGGTCTGACAATGAAAGACTACCGCAGTAGGCCTTATAGCTTGTTGATCAAAATATAAAATGTCACATAGAATAAATTACTTTGAGAGGAGTTTTTATTTTATTCCTGCCATTTCTCAATCAGGGGTGAGAATCTTCTTCGGATCCGTGAATTTCAATGGATTTTAGTGACCACAAATTTGTTAAAATCCCATGGCTTCCCCCTAAACACCCCCGAAATTGCCTGGGAAGTTTTGCTACACTCTGTTGAGATGAAATGGGGACTCAGTGTCAGTCAGAGATTTCTTAACTATAGATGCATGTGGGAGTAATGTATTTAACAAAAAATAACTGCATCAGGAAACTATTGCGAGTGTGTCACTCGCAACTTTTAGAGTACTTTCTTGTTCGCAAAACCTTCCAGAACAATATTTATTTAGGTCTTTGAAAGGCATTCAGAAGTGAAATACATAAGGAAGAGAATATATGGATGTCAACTTCTTTATGATGAGGAACACAACGTTTCGGAGTATATGCTTAGTCCTTCATCAGATGAATGAATGCCATGAGGCAGAGAGCATACAGGAAACTACGTTTATAAAGAACACGCTTATAACCAAACTGACGCATATAACGAACTTACTTTTTGTCCCGACGTTTTGCTGTAGTTATGCTGTATATATGCTTATAACGAACTACGGTTATAACAGACTAAAATTAGTGGTCCCTTTGAGTTCGTTATAACCGTAGTTTACTGTATATATGTACCTGTAAGGACAACAAAATTAATAAGATAACAAAAGGTGGAAAATAACAAAGGGTAGAAGCTAACAAAGAAAGCCAACAGATAATTGGCGCTGATATATTTATCTATTTCTACCAAAGAGTAGTCAGTAGTCTAAAATTGTACAAACTGTATCAGTACAATTGTCCTCAAACTGTACTTGTTTGTACAATATGGCTGTGTAGTTGTCATGTCTGATTGTTTGTGTGTAGGTGTTGTCAGTCATGGCCCTCAGATTCTGTGTAACAAGACAGTCAAGTAGTTTGTGAGCTTTTTATGTTAATGTGTCTCCTAGTGGCTACTGTATTGATGTTACACTGTTAGACTATTAGACTCTGACCCATGTGGCTTAACCCTTTACCACCTACCGGAGTGACAACTGTATTGATGTTACACTGTTAGACTATTAGACTCTGACCCATGTGGCTTAACCCTTTACCACCTACCGGAGTGACAACTGTATTGACGTTACACTGTTACACTATTAGACTCTGACCCATGTGGCTTAACCCTTTTCCACCTACCGGAGTGACAACTGTATTGACGTTACACTGTTACACTATTAGACTCTGACCCATGTGGCTTAACCCTTTACCACCTACCGGAGTGACAACTGTATTGACGTTACACTGTTACACTATTAGACTCTGACCCATGTGGCTTAACCCTTTACCACCTACCGGAGTGACAACTGTATTGACGTTACACTGTTAGACTATTAGACTCTGACCCATGTGGCTTAACCCTTTACCACCTACCGGAGTGACAACTGTATTGACGTTACACTGTTACACTATTAGACTCTGACCCATGTGGCTTAACCCTTTACCACCTACCGGAGTGACAACTGTATTGACGTTACACTGTTAGACTGTTAGACTGTTAGACTCTGACACCTGTGGCTCAACCCTTTTTCACCTACCAGAATACCAACTGTATTGACGTTACACTGCTAGACTGCGACAACTGTGGCTTAACCCTTTACCACCTACCAGAGTAACAACTGTATTGACGTTACACTGTTACACTGTTAGACCACTCGGACCCCGGTGTAATATGGTTGAAATGGTTAATTAAACCATTTCAACAATAAGACACTGGTATCCTCGTGGTCTAACCTATACATAATTTGTAGCCGTGGGACGATACACCCATGCATCGGTGGATTGGACCCGTGAAGATCCGGGGTAGAACAGGTCTTCAGCAACCCATGCTTGCCGTAAAAGGCAACTATGCTTGTCATAAGAGGCGACTAACGGGATCGGGTGGTCAGGCTCGCTGACTTGATTGGTGCATGTCATCGTATCCCAATTGTGTGGATCGATGCTCATCACATCAATCACTGGATTGTCTGGTCCAAACTCTATTACTTACAGTCTGCCGTCATATAGCTGGAATATTGCTGAGTGTGACATTAAACAGCAAACAAACAAACAAACAAAAAGCTACCGTGGATCGCAATTTTTGTACTTCTTGATACAAGTATCGATCAGAGTCACACACTAAGAAAAAAGTAGCGATTCTTACCTTCAGTGTTTGCTTTAATAATTGTTACACAAAACACTAATTAGCAGCGAAATTAGTGGTGAAAAGTATTTTTAACCATTGTGCCATACTTGCCACTGCCAACTGCAAATCATCAGTGTGCCAGGAATTTGGTCATCCTGTCTCTGAAAAAATGGCTTAGTGACCACAGATGAGAGCACATGTAAGTATCATGATACAAATTTGATAGTGAGCAAGGTATCGTGATACGCATTGGATCGCACAGTTTTTTGTGTCGTCCCAGCCCCAACAATTAGCCTTGTGGTTCAAGTTTTGGAAGGACCAAGTACAGGAAGTGAACTCAACCCTTGTGTTTCAGGAAGCGATGTGTTGGCCGCCAACCCTAATGTCAGCCCCAATATGCTTGGAGTGGGGACCCCGAGCGAACACAGTGCCCACTCCGCCGGGTCGTATGTCCGACGCGCAGTGGATGATCTCCCCTACGCCATGGACCGCATTTACAGACTTAGGTTGGTCAAAGCCGGACACGATGAACTTCTTCCTGATTCAAGCAATTTCATTGGTCGAGAAATTGGTCAAGCAATATTCCAGCAGCTCCCGCCCTTGGTGTTTACATTCTGCTTTTGAGATACAATCAAGCATGCTCTTTCTACCAAGATTTCAAAGAGCATCTTACGACTCTTGCTCAGAAGTTGTTTGATCAAAGTTGCAACATTCAAGGTCTCAGTAAAGCTTTCAAAAGATTTTATGGTAGACATGTGGAGGACATTTCAGAATCTGATGCCTCAGTGACAAAAATGATGTCCTGATGCAATTCCCTGTTTTGACTTTGATCTTATGTGCCCGTGTTTTTACAGGTGAACAATTCACTTGCCTTGGCATGTGTTTGTGACAGGTGCCATAGGTGGAGCAGAATATGCTCACCTTTTCGCAAACACCTGGTATCAGCATGATATAGTGATTCATAAACACATGTTCATGATATAGTCAGAATTGTACAATCGACTCTGCTTTTAGCAGAGATTTCTATTGAAAATGGAAAGGTCTTGCCACTTTTATTTATCATAATATTAATCACTGGGATGCCATCCGGTTGGGACACAGTGAGGTGAAATGAAATGGGGTTTAATGTAGCATTCAAGATTATTGCACTTTTGTAGTGATGTGCGTGGAACTGGTCTCTGGCATTCTATGCTGGTCGAAAGTGATGATCTTGCCACATTAATGTGCATTACGGCACCATATCGCGTCTGCGATAAAGTCAGTTTAATAGATCGGATGGTCAGGCTCGATGGTTGATGGCTTGTCAACATACCCCAATGGTATGTATCTTTGCTCACATCAATCACTGGATTGTCTGGTCCAGACTTGATTATATATACAGACTGTCATCATATAGCTGGAATATTCCTGAGTTCAGCTTTAAAAGACAAGCAAACAAACAAAGTAGTGTTAAATACAACTCGTAAAAAACAAGTAAAATCGTACACAATCTATGAACTAATTTTAGAAATATTTTTTACAAATAAGACTTGTTGAAATTTCCCTAATTTCCAGGAAGAGCTCTTAAAAAAACCCTAAAACAAAACTATGAAGAAAAAGATCATTTGGTTGGTTTGTTGTTTTACGCCGCACTCAGCAATATTCAGGCTATATGACGGTGGTCTGTAAATAATTGAGTCAATCAGACAATCCAGTGGTAATATCATGAGTATGATCCACGCAACTGGTATCGATGACATGCATCAACCAAGTCAGCGAGCCTGACAACCTGATCCTTTTAGTCGCCTCTTACGACAAGCATAGTCGCCTTTTACGGCAAGCATGGGTTGCTGAAGACCTATTCTACTCCGAATCTTCTCGAACATCAGTTCAATCATATTTTCATTTTACTTTCACCAGGCTTATATATCCATAACAAGAACCCACATGGTCAGGCCTAATAATAAACTGCATGTTTACGTCCCACAGGGAGGAGATTCGAGCTGAATATGAGACGAAGAAGAGGCCGTACAATGGGGAACTTGGCCTGGAGACATACGACCACTGGCAGCTAGGGGACTACGTCATCGTACGCAAGCTGGTGGAGGACATCATCGACGACTTCCTCATCCACTACATCAAGCCAGACATCCACATCTACGAGGCAGAGATGAGGCAGTGAGTAGGCTCCTGCGGACATTGCTGGAATAGAAGTTGTTTGTTTGTTTGTTTATTTGTTTCACAACAACACCCAAATTGTGTTGCTTCAGTTTATTTTCATGTGTGGGTATTCTTTAGATGTAAGGGGGGTAATGTTGGCCCTGAGGTTGAAGGACTCCCATCCTACTAAGTTTGCCTCCCTTAGTTTCAGCAGGATCCACTGGTCATGGGTTCAAACCCTAGATTTACCCTGAATATGTCCTCTGCCATGATTTTGCATCAGCATTGTTGAAAGTGAATTAAAATCTCTCTCCTTAATTGCAATAAAACAAGCATCCTGGGTGACCTAGTCTGCATTTCTCTGTGCAGAGTTGCATCCCTTAGTTATGTCAGGATCCGTTGATGACATAACAGATTTAAGGAATGTTGTCATCTTTTTGGAAACTGCTTACCTGGTACTAATAAAAAGGAAGAGAAGAAGGCAAATACATGACAAAGTATTTGTGTTCATGGTGTCTTGAACAAATATTGGAATGTTTGACCCAAAGCTGAACATGAAGACTTCATCTATTGTTGGGTATTTAGGGCAGGAACAGTACAGGAACCTTTCTTCTTACAGTGCCATGGTACGAGCCGAACATGAAGACTTCATCTATTGTTGGGTATTTAGGGCAGGAACAGTACAGGAACCTTTCTTCTTACAGTGCCATAGTACGAGCCGAACATGAAGACTTCATCTATTGTTGGGTATTTAGGGCAGGAACAGTACAGGAACCTTTCTTCTTACAGTGCCATGGTACGAGCCGAACATGAAGACTTCATCTATTGTTGGGTATTTAGGGCAGGAACAGTACAGGAACCTTTCTTCTTACAGTGCCATGGTACGAGCCGAACATGAAGACTTCATCTATTGTTGGGTATTTAGGGCAGGAACAGTACAGGAACCTTTTTTCTTACAGTGCCATAGTACAAGCCGAACATGAAGACTTCATCTATTGTTGGGTATTTAGGGCAGGAACAGTACAGGAACCTTTCTTCTTACAGTGCCATGGTACGAGCCGAACATGAAGACTTCATCTATTGTTGGGTATTTAGGGCAGGAATAGTACAGGAACCTTTTTTCTTACAGTGCCATAGTACAAGCCGAACATGAAGACTTCATCTATTGTTGGGTATTTAGGGCAGGAACAGTACAGGAACCTTTCTTCTTACAGTGCCATAGTACAAGCCGAACATGAAGACTTCATCTATTGTTGGGTATTTAGGGCAGGAACAGTACAGGAACCTTTTTTCTTACAGTGCCATAGTACAAGCCGAACATGAAGACTTCATCTATTGTTGGGTATTTAGGGCAGGAACAGTACAGGAACCTTTTTTCTTACAGTGCCATAGTACAAGCCGAGAATGAAGACTGGGAGAGGACGGCAGGGGCGCTGGCAGAGAGACGAGCCGTCACACTGGTTGCCGAGGAGCTCATGCTGCTGGTGAGATGAGGGAATGCTCAAGTAAAACAGCAGCAGCATTTCATTTGGTGCATTTTTTCCTTACGACATATCTACTAAAACAAAATTTCCCACATGTGAATTATTATTTTTCACACTCAAATTTCAGTAATATATATTAGTGAGTGAGTGAGTTGGGTTTAACGCCGCTTTTAACAGTATTCCAGTTATATCGCGGCGAATCAGCTTAATGTGGGAGGAAAGCCTAAAGTGATGTTTACCACTTCGGTGAAACCCACGAACACGGGTATGGTGCTGACAAACCTAGAAACATAATCAGGGCGAACCGGGATTCAAACCCACAATCATAGGTTTCTGGCGTGCCCAAGGGACGCAACTCTGCAAAGCGAATCATGACACCTGAGACAACTGGGCCACCCGTGCCCCCCATATATAAAAAATATATATGCAAAAAGAAGATAAGAGGAAGTGAAGTAACTCTTGCAGGATATTTCCTTTATGTCATCTTTAAAAGAGATCTTTTAAGAGATCACTTATTCATTTTCATCTTTAACTCGTCAATCTTGCCCGTGTTTAGAAAATAAGTCTGTAATCTAAGTTATGGTACTTAAAGCAAAATTTAAAAAAAATAAAAATTTAAAAAATATTCACCATATGAGTGTCCTATTTAAACAATAAATCGAAGTTGATAAATAAAGATATAATTAAATTTAAATCTAAATCTAATTTTGAATTGTTATCAAGATTAATTAGATTTATGAAAATAATTGTGGATGCATGGGAAAAATACAGTGCGTCATTTTTAAAACAGGAGTGTTTTCTGTAAATGCAAATGTTTATTCTCTGTTATAACATGTTTCCAGTTATCTCTCTGCTGTGTTTCCAGGCAACAAGAGAATTGTCACGGGAGGTTGCCCAGGAAACAGTTCACATTTTTGGCACATTTCACAATTTTACAACACGTATGCTTCTCAATACAGTGGAGGTAAGTCCGATGTTGACTGACACTGAAGGGTCAGGTCTTGCTAAGGATGAAGATTATTTCATTGGGGCCCACTTGCACAAAACGATCTTAGCGCAAGGACTATCATAAGCCTATGTTAAAGTATGGGAGTTAACATTATCTTAGCGAGAAGATCACATGGTGCAAGTGGGCCAAGGCGTTACGGCTGAAGGTCTGGGGTTTCAACCTATTATCAAAATCACCATCACTAACCTTATTAATAAAATATATAATAAGTGAAAACTTTTTCTTAATTCTGCTGACTGCAAAGTTACATGTTTTCAACAAATAAAAAGATGACAGTTGATTGAATGGCAAGCTGAGCAACAACCGTGTCCGTGGTGTTGTTGATAGAGTGTCTGCCCAGAGAGTGGAAGGTGCAGTGGTTCAAACGCTGTCAGCAGCATACCAAAAAAAATGGTACTTGTTGTTACCCTGCCTGGCGCTCAGCATTAAGAGGATAAAATAAGGACTGGTCGGCTCGGAGTCAGTATACTGTGTCTGAGTGGGATATTCCTGTTAAACTGTGGCATGGTATCTCACGCACACACACACACATCGCTTTACTCATCAGGAGTTCGATAAGGTATTCCGTGTACCAACCCGCCAAGGGGATTCTGGGTTAACTGATTGTAAGAGGTGACCAGATTAAATGTATCGGGTGGTCAGGCTCGATGACTTGGTAGGTTGTGTGTCCTGGTAAAACAGTGGTGTGGATCATTGCTCACTGTATCGATCACTGAATTGTCTGGTCTAGATTTGGTTATTTATAGACTGCCGCATATGGCTTGAATCTTGCCGAGTCGTAGATGTTGTGTCACACAAACCAAGAAACGTAATGAAGGAAAACCTGGGAAACTAACACAAGATCATTGGATCATGACAAAACCTATATGCAACATGGCAATGAAGACGATTGGGCCATCGGTAACCACCCTAGTAGGACTGCTTGTATTTGCACAAGTGTTGTATTTGTACAAGTGTATTTCTACAAGTGTTGTACTTGTGCAAGTGTTGTATTTGTACAAGTGTTGTATTTGTGCAAGTGTTGTATTTGTGCAAGTGTTGTATTTGCACAAGTGTTGTATTTGTACAAGTGTATTTCTACAAGTGTTGTATTTGTACAAGTGTTGTATTTGTGCAAGTGTTGTATTTGTGCAAGTGTTGTATTTGCACAAGTGTTGTATTTGTACAAGTGTATTTCTACAAGTGTTGAATTTGTACAAGTGTTGTATTTGTACATGTGTTGTATTTGGTGTTGTGTTGGTTACAGAGTATCAGTACGGGGCAGGAGAAAGGTCGCGACCCTGAAGATCCAGCATTCAACCTGGTGTCCCGTGGCTACTTCTCCATGCAGACCAATAGGAACCAGCACAGGTGAAGCACAGGCACCACAGGCACTAGGGCTCCGACAAGTCCCAATTTACTACTTGGGTACCCGACCCCCTACTACCCGACCCCCCTACTACCCGACCCCCTACTACCCGACCCCCTACTACCCGACCCCCTACTACCTGACCCCCTACTACCTGACCCCCTTCTACCTGACCCCCTACAACCCGACCCCCTACTACCTGACCCCTACTACCCGACCCCATACTACCTGACCCCCTACTACCTGACCCCCTACAACCCGACCCCTACTACCCGACCCCCTACTACCTGACCCCTACTACCCGACCCCATACTACCTGACCCCCTACTACCTGACCCCCTTCTACCCAAGCCCCTACTACCCGACCCCCTACTACCTGACCCCACTACTACCTGACCCCCTTCTACCCGAGCCCCTACTACCTGACCCCCTACTCCCTGACCACCTACTACCCACCCCTACTACCTGACCCCCTACTACCCGACCCCCTACTACCTGACCCCCTACTACCCGACCCCATACTACCTGACCCCATACTACCCGACCCCCCTACTACCCGACCCCTACTCCCCGACCCCCTACTACCTGACCCCCTACTACCTGACCCCCTACTACCCGACCCCCTACTACCCAACTCCCTACTACCCACCCCTACTACCTGACCCCCTACTGCCTGACCCTACCTGTTACCCACTGTAGGTTTCAAGAGTTGGGTCCAAAATGTCCGATTGGGAAAAGTTTGACCTAGGCAAAATGTATTTAGATACACATATAAAATGATCTGGTCATGCAACACTGAAGTTTTATCTTTTTCAAACCTATAAAGGTCAGAAGAAATGGGTGCATAGTCAGAAAGAAATGCGAACATTAGTGACGTATACTGTAACCATAGATCTCAAGATAATTTTTGTCATTAAACGAAATATCACGTGACAAACCACGGGTCCGGGTAGTCCTGTGAGTACCTGGGTCCTTTTAAGTACCCACCCGACCCTAGTACCCGAGTTACACATCCCAGCCCTACAGGTACTTCCTCATTGGTAGCATTAAGTGGTAGGGCAATGTACTGGCCAAACAACTGAATTCAATTTATTGTGATTCATGTATCTGTATCATGATACGTGTTGCGATGTATTGGGAGCTCAAGTGTTTGACAGTGATTGTCAATGGTTGTACACGCAGATCCTATATTTACTACATATTAAAGTCAATATTACTCAGCATGGTCAATAGCCATCATTTTGTTGTCATGGATACAGGGGAGATAACAACATGGGGGAAAAAACACTGCTTTTCCACCTTTTTGTGAATCAATTTCAAAAGGAAATATCATTTGTGAATGAATTTCTGTGTAGATTTTAAGTCAAACGATACAATAAATAACAAAATTTGTTACATTGTTTTTACCCAGTATACCGGAACACAGAAAATATATTGCAATATGTATTGTCTGTTAAGCATGTCAGAGTATGCAGTCCTATTAAGTAGTAAAAGATCCGGGGTAGAATTGGTCTTCAGCAACCCATGCTTGCCATAAAAAGCGACTATTCTTGTCGTAAGAAGTGACTAACAGGATCGGGTGGTCAGGCTCGCTGACTTGGTTGAAGCATGGCATCGATCCGGGATATAGCCTGAATTGATGTTTATGATGTCAATCACAGGATCGTCTGGTCCAGACTTGTTTATTTACAGACCGCCATCATATTGCTGTAATATTGCTGAGTGAGGTGTAAACAACAAACAAACAAAAGTAGAAAGCTTCAATAAATATCAGTTAAAAAGGTATTTGTCTGCTAGTGTTTTGGTATTGGGTTACAAACAATTAGGAAGCTGTACAAGTAAAATGTGTCATGTCCTCATGTTGTACATTTATTTTTAAAAATATGATTTTCAACTGTTTGACTCCTAGTTTTAGCTTACTGGTCTCAGAAGCCATCATGATGTCGTTTCTAATGTGTATACCGACTAAACCTGAGTGTTTATGACACAAATCCAAAGGGTAATTTGTCTCACTGGTGAAACAGGTGAAGTGTTTTGTGTTGTAGGAAGGATATATGGGCGCACACACAGCACCTCCACCACATCAAACCTCAACAGCAGCACCCGCAACCACGACCGCAACAACAACCCCAGAAGGCAAAACAACAAAAACAAAAACAGCAGCCTAAGCCCCAACAACATGTAGAACCAGAGGAAGAGTGAGTCTCTTGGTGTTTCAGTGAATTAGTGAGTGAGTTAGTGAGTGAGTTTGGTTAAATGCTGCTTTGAAAGTATTCCACTTAATACATCTCAGTGTGTCAGCTTAATGTGGAAATGAGATGCAGTAGAGAGCTGGGGACCAATTCTAACCTGGGCCTCACAGGGGGTCAAGCAGAAGAGAGCTGGGGACCTATTCTAAACTGGGCTCCGCAGAAGGTCAAGCATTAGAGAACTGGGGACCTATTCTAACTTAGGCTCCACAGAAGGTCAAGCATTAGAGAACTGGGGACCTATTCTAACTTAGGCTCCGCAGAAGGTCAAGCATTAGAGAACTGGGGACCTATCCTAACCTGGGCCTCACAGGGGGGTCAAGCAAGAGAGAACTCGGAGCCTATTCTAAACTGGGCTCCACAGAAGGTCAAGCAGTAGAGAGCTGGGGACCTCTTCTAAACTGGGCTCCGCAGAAGGTCAGGCAGTAGAGAGCTGGGACCTCTTCTAAACTGGGCTCCGCAGAAGGTCAGGCAGTAGAGAGCTGGGGACCTATTCTAACCTGGGCTCCGCAGAAGATCAAGCAGTAGAGAGCTGGTGACCTATTCTAACCTGGGCCTCACAGGGGGTCAAGCAGTAGAGAGCTGGGGACCTATTCTATACTGGGCCTCACAGGGAGTCAAGCAGTAGAGAGCTGGGGACCTATTCTATACTGGGCTCCGGAGAAGGTCAAGCAGTAGAGAGCTGGGACCTATTCTAACCCAGGCCTCACAGGGGGTCAAGCAGTAGAGAGCTGGGGACCTATTCTATACTGGGCTCCACAGAAGGTCAAGCAGTAGAGAGCTGGGGACCTATTCTAACCTGGGCTCCGGAGAAGGTCAAGCAGTAGAGAGCTGGGACCTATTCTAACCTGGGCCTCACAGGGGGTCAAGCAGTAGAGAGCTGGGGACCTATTCTAACCCAGGCCTCACAGGGAGTCTAGCAGTAGAGAGCTGGGGACCTATTCTAACCCAGGCCTCACAGGGAGTCAAGCAGTAGAGAGCTGGGGACCTATTCTAACCCAGGCCTCACAGGGGGTCAAGCAGTAGAGAGCTGGGGACCTATTCTAACCCAGGCCTCACAGGGAGTCAAGCAGTAGAGAGCTGGGGACCTATTCTAACCCAGGCCTCACAGGGAGTCTAGCAGTAGAGAGCTGGGGACCTATTCTTACCCAGGCCTCACAGGGAGTCAAGCAGTAGAGAGCTGGGGACCTATTCTAACCCAGGCCTCACAGGGGGTCAAGCAGTAGAGAGCTGGGGACCTATTCTAACCCAGGCCTCACAGGGAGTCAAGCAGTAGAGAGCTGGGGACCTATTCTAACCCAGGCCTCACAGGGGGTCAAGCAGTAGAGAGCTGGGGACCTATTCTAACCCAGGCCTCACAGGGAGTCAAGCAGTAGAGAGCTGGGGACCTATTCTAACCCAGGCCTCACAGGGAGTCTAGCAGTAGAGAGCTGGGGACCTATTCTAACCCAGGCCTCACAGGGAGTCAAGCAGTAGAGAGCTGGGGACCTATTCTAACCCAGGCCTCACAGGGAGTCAAGCAGTAGAGAGCTGGGGACCTATTCCAACCCAGGCCTCACAGGGGGTGGACCAATAGAAATTAGGTGACTATATATTCTATTTCGATACCCACAGGGGGTCAAGAGTGCTTGGGACCTATTCTTAATTGGGCACAACAGGGGCACACAAGGATGACTGAAGGTTGACAGGATGAGAGAAAGTTGACAGAAGGATGACAGAAGGATGACTGATGGGTGACAGAAGGTTGACAGAAGGATGACTGAAGTGTGACAGATATGTTTGTGTTGCAGGGAGGAGGATGTTGATGCTGATGTGGAGGTGATCAAGTACGACCACATCAAGCCGATGTCGCTGAGGAAGTATGAGTCGTCACGGTCGGACTCAAAGGAGGTGAATCGTGGGAAGGAATTCGCCAAGATCTACCACAAGAGGGAACAGCAGTACTGGAAAGTGAGTTGATTGAAGAACAAGCTTCTATATGTTATATCCACCTGGTCGTTCCTCTGGCCAGCAATAACTTAGTTTCCTTGGATGCAGAGCAGAAATGCCAACCATAAGATTTGGGTGTAATAGTTATGATTTTGAACCTAAAATTACACAATCCGGCTTGTGTTCCCCGAAATACAATTTTGATTGTTTTTTTTTCACGAATTATTGACATGCTTATTATATCTGGCGTTTATCATGTTTCACACACTAATATGACAGTCCTATTTGTGTTGTGGGCTGGGTGCGGATGCTTTTCAGCGTTGTTGAAATTAAGGTTTTTTACACTTCTTTGCATAACGCCAAAAAATCGGTTCCGATTGCTAGTGTCATCTACATGTGTGATGGTAGTGCCAGGCGTTCTTTTTGTCAGTTTACTAGTCTTTTGTCATTTTGTCAGTTTAACATGAAGCACATATCCGGAAAAGTGGGTGTTGCTTATTTAATGCTCATGTGTGCCAATAGAGAACCAATTACCTTCTGATATCAAATATATCAACACAAGTGAATAAAAGTTTAAACTCAGTTTGTATGAGAAATGCTTTTTTTCTAAATTCTCTTGTTCAAAATTTTGGAAATATTTGGGTTAATTTATAGTCACATAGGTATAGAGATAGTTTCAATGAAGCTGTAGTTGACGTGTGGGTTACAACTTCTTTATTCTCTCAATGCAATGTTTCGGCACACCGAAACCCTTTATCAAGCAAGTGCGAGTGCTGCATGGAGGTTCTAGCATCTGTATACAAGGAATAGAACACCTGGTGTGAAATGTGTCACCTGTTGTCATCTCCAGGGGTTGAAGACTGCTGTGAAGAAGCTGATCGTTGGCAGGAAGTGCAAGGGTGTGCAGACAGCAAGAGTGTCACATGACCAGCGATTCCTTGCTTTGGGTACAGCACATGGTGGGTGAATAGGAGGCTGTGTTCACAAGTAGTTGCACTATGTATTTCATGTGAATCACCATCGTCATCATCGTCATCATCGTCAACATCAACATAAACATGAACATCATCATCACCAGCAGCAGCACCACCACCACCACCACAATCATCAACATCATTAACATTAACATCATCATCAACATTAACATAAACATGAACATCATCATCAACATTAACATCATCATCATCAGCAGCAGCAGCAGCAGCAGCAGCAGCACCACCACCACCACCACCACCACCAACATCATCAACATTAACATTATCATCAACATTAACATTAACATAAACATGAACATGAACATCATCATCAACATTAACATCATCAGCAGCAGCACCACCACTACCATCATCAACATCATCAACATCATCAACATTAACATCATCATCAGCAGCAGCAGCAGCAGCACCACCACCACCACCACCATCAACATCATCAAAATTAACATTATCATCAACATTAACATAAACATGAACATAATCATCATCATTATCATCAACATCTTCAACATCATCAACATCATCAACATCATCATCAACATCATCAACATTATCAACATTATCAACATCATCATCAACATTATCTTCAACAATGCCGTTCTAATTCTCAATTCAATAAACATCACAGTCAATTTCAACAGATTTTAAAAAAAGAAAAGACTTTTTCTTAATTCTGCTGACTGCAAAGTTACATGTTTACCACAAATAAACAGACAAAAGTTGACAGTAGGTTGAATGGCAAGCTGAGCTTTACAAACACCCACAACTGTCTCCGTGGTCTTTGAGGTCTGCTCAGAGAGCAGAAGGTTTGTGGTTCGATCCCTGGGAGCAGCATACCAAAAGACGTTAACTTGTTCTTACCCTGCCTGGTGCTCGGCATTAAGGGGCTAAAACAAGGACTGGTCTGCATGGAGTCTGTATACAGTGTCTGAGTGGTATATTCAGGTTAAATTGTGGCATGGTATCTCAGTGGGCTAGAACTATAAAGTCAGCATATGTCCGGACTAGTACAAGCAGTCACAGACAGATCCACAGACAGACAGACAACCCATGCTTGTCATAAGAGGCAAATAACGGGATCGGGTGGTCAAGCCTGCTGACTTGTTTGATGCATGTCATTGTATCCCAATTGCCTGGATCAATGCTCATGATATCAATCACTGGATTGTCTGGTCCAGATTTGATTATTTACAGACAGCTGTCATATAGCTGGAATATTGCTGAGTGCGGCGTTAAACAACTAACAAACAAACAAACAAACACAAAAACATCTGTAAGACTCTGAAGAGTGTCTCACTAGTAAATGTAATTGTTACAGTAAACACATGTTGACAAAGATAAACATTTGGGTAAATGGCCGTAACGTGGTCTCTGTCTTGCAGGTGATTTGGTTGTGTACGATACTTGGATGGCGCCATGGCGGCCTGTCAGAGCCATCCACAACATTGACCGAGCTAACGACGGTGTTATAGATATAGCATGGAGTATGGACGGGTCCAGACTTTCCACCATCAACACAGGGGTATGTGGTCTCAGTGGTTATGTTAGTAACACACGCACACACAGGGATAAGAAGAAGAAGGAAAGACTATAGTTATACTGTTGTAACATTGTTTTTTTAATATCAAACTCTAATGTTATTTAATACCAGTATAATAATTTGCAGTCTGAAACGTGTTTTCACTGGCTTATTTGTCGAGAGTATCGTGCGTAGTGGCTACTCTCAGAAAATGGCTGAACGTCCATGCTGTTGGCAGTTTGTAACTTACCGTTGATCTAAGTAGACATTATTTTATACATGTATATCTTACCATATCTGCATTCAAATGGGCCCAGCAGTCAAAGTAGTTAACAATAAAGGAACACCTAAACTTGTACAATTCAAGATCAATCTTACTCGAAGAAAAAACACAAAAATAAAATCCTACATTTTTATTTTTCTCACAAACACTGTCAATTTTTCTGTCGTAACCATGCATGCTTATTTATGCACATATGTCCTCAAGTGTGCATATACAAACATGTATTTGAGTCCTCATTAGTTTAACTATCACCCAACCTACCTTCCATAATTGGAATAACGCGGGTGTCTGATAACGCAGGGGGTCATCCATGGACCCTGAGACCCGCATTGCCGTGGGGATGACTGTATGTTGGTTGTGCCACTCAATCCTTCCAATTATATACAGTCAAACACCATTGTGTCAAACTTTCATGTGTCGAACATTGATGTGTCAAAATTTGATGTGTCAAACTTTGATTTGTCAAACTTGATGTGTCAAACTTTCCTTCTTTATTCATCATTTTCGTTTGGGCCGAACCTCGGATGACTTGGTGTTTGATTGTATATCTATATTTTTAGGGGAATGATGCGGGCACAAGTCTTACCCAGAATAATGTGTCCGCACTTGTAGGTGGCAGCTAAACTGTATCTGGAGGTCAGGTGACTTGGTTTGTTGGTGATGCTTCATATGTCAACCACCGTTTTTTCCGGTCAAAAGAACTTTTGTACACTAACCTTTCCTTGGTTTTTGTCTCGTTTACTTGCTGCCGTGTTGTAGCTTGAATATTGTGACTATGGTGTAAAACAAAAGAAAAATAACAGGGAAGGAATAATTCAATCTCTCCCTCCCAGATTGTATTGTTTGATAGGCATTACTTAGAAGTTGACGGATGACAAAGTAGACACAATTTATGGATAACAACTTCTTAAATAGAGTGAAAAGTGACATTTCGGTTTTGATCCTTGCTTGACAACGGTATAAGGATCTATACCGAACCGTCGCTTTTCACAGTATTAAAGAAGTTGTTGTCCATAAATTGTGTCTACTTTGTCTCCCAGACTGTGATTGACTGGACGGTTGGCTGACTTTTCAGGGGATGCTGATCGTGTGGTCGTTCGATGGTGGAGGGACCCAGAGGTCGGACGTACGGGGTCTGGACATTCAGGCCGACTCAGCTGGCTACATTCCTCAGCAGCTGGCACGTATCGCACTCCTTGATGGCGACAAGAAGGATTTCACCTACCAACAAGGTCAGCCATTGTTTTCTTCAAGCAAAGCTTTTTTCACCTCAAAATTACAAACTACAGGTTTTATTGACAGCATTTGAATTTTGTAAAGGGGATAGATGTGATGAGTTATAGCCAACTAGTCTACAGCTCATTTCGGGTACTTGTTTTCGTGGGATTTCTAGATTATGGAAGCAGACACGAAGAGTAGTATAGACACTGGGGGTACCGGATCACCCTGTCCTGGACCAGGCCTTGGCCCTCAAAACGCTTTCATGGAGTTGCAGTAAATTTTGCTTAGCAGTTGCTAGATTTCGCTTAGCAGTTGCTAGATTTTGCTTAGCAGTTGTTATTTTGCTAAGCAGTGGCTAGATTTTGCAAAGCAAACTGTAGCAACTGCTTAGCAAAAATTAGCAGACTTCCATGGAAGCAATTTCAGGGCCTAGGCCTGGCCCCGGGCGGGGTGGTCCGGTACCCCAAGTGTCTATACTACTAGGAGATTGTACAGATTGTGGCTGGCCTCGGACAGGGGTGGTCCGGTACCCCCAGTGTCTAGACTACTAGGAGATTGTACAGATTGTGGCTGGCCTCGGACAGGGGTGGTCTGGTACCCCCAGTGTCTATACTACTAGGAGATTGTATAGATTGTGGCTGGCCTCGGACAGGGGTGGTCCGGTACCCCCAGTGTCTATACTACTAGGAGATAGTACAGATTGTGGCTGGCCTCGGACAGGGGTGGTCTGGTACCCCCAGAGTCTATACTACTAGGAGATTGTACAGATTGTGGCTGGCCGCGGACATACATTTTTCTTGAAATCAGTTTTTTGATGTGCATGCACCAAGTTTTATCGTCTACAGTGTTGCAGAAGAAACTGATCACTTGTAATTCCGTGGTCTTAGGTTGCATAAAGGACCGTTCACTGTTTGAAACTTTCCATTTGTGTTTCATAGATCTATCATGATACAACATTTATAACAAGATCACATCTCCCAGACATAATATCCAATAAGACAAAAGATATGTCTACATAGATTGCCTTGAACTATTTTATTTTAAGTAAATCAGTCATCACCTATATTAGAAAAACATTCAGCAAATACTTCAATTTAGACTCATTAAGGATAAGCCCCGTACAAGCTGGTCTATAGTGATACCATCATCTCTTTCCAAGCAGGTCCGTTTTCTGAGCAGGATGTGTTGTCTAGTCCCCAGAGTCCTGTCAAGGGGGCGTTCTTCCCCAGCTTTACACTGCTCGGAACACAGGTCAGTCAGCTCCAACATCTTCATCTTTGTCACATCTTTGTTGGTTTATACTTTACAAATGTTTAGAACTGGTACCTAGCAACTGATTCTGGTATAGAATTGGTTCCCAAGTTCATAATGTTGGGTGGTCTGGCTCGGTGATAACTGATTGAGTGGATTGCAGCTCAGAATATCAATCACTGGTTAGTCTGGTCCAGACTTGAATTATTTAAAGATTGCCATCATATAGCTGGAATGCTGCTGAGTATGACACTAAACAACACAGATTACAAACAAATGAATGTTATGCTAACCAGTTATGTTGGATAGGTGTTTGTGTTTGTTTGTATAACACCACACTCAGCAATATTCCAGCTATATGACGGAGGTCTGTAAAATCGAGTCTGGACCAGACAATCCAGTAATTCATATTATGAGCATCAATCCACGCAATTGGGATATGATGACATGCATCAACCAAGTCAGCAAGCCTGACCACCCGATCCTTTTAGTCGCCTCTTACGACAAGCAGTCGCCTTTTACGGGTAGCCTAGTGGTTAAAGCGTTCGTTCGTCACTCCGAAGAGCCGGGTTCAAATCCCCACATGGGTACAACGTGTGAAGCCCATTTCAGGTGTCCCCCGCCATGATATTGCTGCAATATTGCTAAAAGCAGCGTAAAACCATACTCACTCACTCACTCATTTCGTCTGAAGGGATAACAGAGATCAGTTATCTTTTAAAATCCTCGCGTTAATTTCAAGATTTACAGTACGTTCCTATTTTTTTGCAATATATTTTCCTCCAGTGTTTTCGAGCCCCATAGAAGTATTTCTGATAACTTGTCTAATATAGTAATAACAATGGCAATACACTAAAATGAAGTCTTACCTTTGAGAACATTTATTTCTGTTTACAATTGGATAGTCAAATGACCACATCTTGTCAATATAACTGTGATAATGCCAAGCGAGACGAGTCAGTCAGGTGCCATCTTGTTATAGTCACCTGATTTTTTAGCTCCTCCATTGTATTTGTGTTTGTGTGTTTGTGACGGCAGCACTCTGTGTGTGCCTGTCTGGACAATGGGGACATGCTGAAGTGCAACCTGGAGCCGCTGTCCGTGATGGCCGACACTGACCAGACTATGGAGTACTCGGAGGCCCCAACAATCTACCACTCCAACATCTATGTAAGTCAAGCTAATGATCATTCGGTCAGGCCTCAAAGTTAAAATTTTTAACAAGTAGCCATATGACTACCAGTATTTTATTTCCAGGTAGCCACTGGTTAAATCAACAAGACCAGCCAAAAACATTCGAAATTATCTTTTATCAAATAACTATTATAATATGTACAAGTCATAGCACTAGGCCTGAGGTAAGGTGAAATGGGCTTTAACCTTGCGTCCAAGATTATTGCACTTATATAGCGACGTGCATGTACGTGTGTATGTTTGTACTAGTCCGGACTGATGCCGATTTATAGTGCCAGCACACTGAGATACCATGCCACAGTTTAACATGAATACCCCACTCAGACACAGTATACTGACTCCCAGCCGACAAGTCCTTGTTTTAACCCCTTAATGCCGAGCGCCAGACAGGGTAACAACAAGTACCATCTCTTAACGTCTTTGGTATGACACGGCCGGGGCTCGAACCCGGACCTTCCGCTCTCTGGGCGGACGCTCTACCACTAGACCACGGAGGCGGTCACTATGCCTGAAACTGTATATTAGTGTATACTTGATTTTTTGTTATTTGTGACTTGAATGATGCAATATTTTACTAGATGACATAGGTATATCCTTGTTTATCCAATGAGCATTGTCAACTAAAATAAAATAGTAACTATGCATTTCTGCTCATTGTCGACTTTTGGAGGAATTATTCGCGAGTACAGTTATTAATAGCAGACATGTTTTCCACGATCTGCTGTTCTTTTCGTTGCATGTAGGAGACAATTGATAATCTGTCATTAACAGATTTCAATATGTCATCGACAATGTGTGTTTAGATTGTAAGTGAATATATTCAAAGTGATAAGACATTAAAAGCGAATACCGGTGTTGTAAATGGTGTTACAGTTTCATTATGCAATGAATATTGTTCCAGGTTCACTCTCTTGTTAAATTAGCAAATAATTTATTTCCCACATTTATTAACATGAATAAATACCTTCGTTTTCGAAACTCATATGAATACGACGTTCGTCGAAGACTCTCATATGACACACCTCTAGAAAGCTTGTTTTTTTATCTACACGGTCGTAACATCACCTGGAGCAGAGACCATATAATAATAATCTATTATATGGTCTCTGCCTGGAGTCTGTATCTGTAGTAATTCTAACATGGAATTTTATTGGATAAAAATTGGTTTCTAATGACGCTTTCTTGCTGAATTCTGCTACAAGGTTCGTGATTGGTCAAATTTGAGCATGTGGCCTAAGGCAGCCAATCAATTTACAGCTATGGTACTGTCCTCGTGTGTTATGAATTTCAGATTTTGAAACGTTTTTAAGCAGGAAATCGCGATCTATATTAAAAATATGGAACTTCATGGATGTATCATGCTAGGTTAAGAGCTGTGACAAAGAATTCTCATGCATATATTTTGCCATTAAACATCGTGTCCGAGTGACGTGACAAAAGCCGAGATGTCATTTGACTTGCATTACACATGATTGCACGAAAAGATGGAAATAATAACTTAGATGTAAGTTTGACAACTTTTAGAAATAGTTTTGTTCATTGTATTTATTACTTTGTATAATATATTTATAGATTTGCTTCAAAAGTCTTTATTTTGCTCTTTGACATGTTCGAGGTGGACCTGTTTTCGAAGTGTGTGTCCGAGAATTTTATTTTCAATAATATTGCGAGAAATAGTGAATCATTTCTTAATCTATCGATAAAAAATTATAAATTTAAATGGAAAACGTATTTCAGACATTGTGAAATGTGATAGATTTAATATATGAATTATATGACAGGTAGGTTAATAAAATTGTGTACTATTTTGACGTGACTACGGCTTGTGTATTGCGGGACTTATTAATGCACAACACATACCTAGGGGATGCATAGAAGAGTCTGATAGTACTTCTTATCAACTCTTAACTCTGTCACTGCAGTGAGTGTCCAAATCCCCAATCCACTCTCGGACAACTACCAAAATACTATCGATGGTAATTTCAGCTCCTCCCACTGAAATAATGTTTAACGTCATGCGAAAAGAGTCATAATGCTTACCTTTATAATGACTAATTTCCATCCCTCAACTCTTCTTTTCTAAAATAACTAGGTTAACTACCTAAGTCAACAGTCTACCAGTGTTTTACTTTGACTGGGATCAGCTTGTGTTTCATACTAAGATGCTTAGGTATTGAGCTGGTTGAAGTGTCTGTGTAGCCTTGCAGTATGCCAAATAAACAGCATTGTTTTCTTTTTAACTGTATCAAGGTCAAAATGAGACCATACAGTGCTGGAACGTTTCTCTTCCATTTTTTGGCTAACCTTGGTACCACTGAGCGTTATCTGTCCTTGTCAAAAGTAAGATTGAGAGTTATCTCCCTTCCACTGGTACTTGACAAGCTCCTTCCCAGCGCGTGACACCTTCGTTACACTCTCGGTAACATCGCTGCCACCAGTGTGGGCACGCCATTACTAGAATCTTGAAATTTGCCCTCCAACCCCATATGTAGTAACTTTTGTTTATGTCTTTGGGAATGCCATCATATTTCAATTTGAAAAGGTTTACGACTGACCATGTTTTCCAGATGAATTTACTTTGTTGTTTTGATAATCAGATTGGTTCCAGATTGCGGACTAACGGAAAATTAACCAACTTCTCCCTTAATTTCTTACTATATCAATAACACGATAGTTTTAATGAAACAGAAATTTAAATTGACAAACGAAGAAAGAAATTTAGCAGCGATAAGTGTATTCGGCGTCACGACAGTCGTCACTTGTTTGTAAACATAACAGTCATTCGGTTGCGAGTTCAACTCCAAGCATGGTTGTGGCCACCTATTCACAGTGGGGAGTTTTGACTGGTGGCAGCGATAGTATAGAGAGCTCCGGGAACGTACTATCGCTGTGAGGAGCTTGGGTACTTGAGTCCTTGAAAACAGGCCCATTAGCAGGAACTTGAGTACCCATCACAGCCCTAGCTGGTATTGAATATATATCTTAGACCATCATTTTTCTTTCCCAAGGGGGATGAGGCTCAGGCTTATTCACAACCTAAGCAAGTTTGATTAAGTTGTTCTGACACCACCTTGCTTGTTGACCGTCTCAGTGGTCTAGTGGTAGAGCGTCCGCCTGGAGAGCGGAAGGTCCGGGGTTCAATCCCCGGCCGTTTCATACCAAAAGACGTTAAAAGATGGTGTTTGTTGGTACCCTGTCTGGTGTTCAGCATTTAGGGGCTAAAACAAGGACTGGTCGGCTGGGAGTCAGTATTCTGTGTCTGAGTGGGGTATTCGTGTTAAACTGCAGCATGGTATCTCAGTGGTCTAGCACTATAAATCGGCATCAGTCCGGACTAGTACAAGCAGCCATACACACACACACACACATGCATGCACATCGCTTGGTCGTGATGTTAAACCCCATTTCACCTCACCTCACCTTGTTTATGAAACTAGCATTAAAATATGACCTTAATTGCACACAGTGTCTCAGTTTCATACAAATTATATCATCTAGACCAAGCCTGAAAATGAGCCCAGGATCACGCCATTTTGTTTCTGATTGTTTCTTGTGTCACGCTAAAAATATAAAACTAACTCAACCCTGGCTGAAATTTTAAAGAAATATGTTCATTTTTCTTTTGATTTATGATTTATGAATTTCGTTTAGGATGCAAGTTATGGCATCAATCTGATTGGACAAGGCTTGGAGGCAGAACTGTTCCGTCAACACAAACATCCCATTATATACATCGGCTTCGTCGACAAGCTGGGAAACATTGTCACTGTCGATATAAAGGGTTTCATCAATATGTGGAAATATGACAGGTGAGATTTATGGTGATAGAATTTGATATATCACAAGAAAAATACACATATATCTTATTTCAAAATACATGGATGTGTACTGGCCATTAATAGCTTTTTTCAATAGAGCTTGCGTAGCAGCCACTATCAGATTCAAAGCTCTTGAACAAATTTAGGCATTATCATTGGTGGGAACAAGAACGTGAAGTAAGCCTTATTGGTCCAGTGGTTTCTGATGAGATGATGTTTCCGGAAGACTGATGTTAGGCACCGACAAGCAGGCCAACACATACGATCACTTAGATTTCAGTCGTGTGAGCTGATCCTTGTCATCTCCTCATATGAAACAGAATATGCATTTATATTTATAATGTGCAAAATCCACTCCCTACAGTGACACCAATAATGATAATAATTAGAAGAATACAGTAAACTACGGTTATTACGAACTCAAAGGGACCACTTATTTTAGTTTGATGTAACCGTAGTTCGTTATAAGCATATATACAGCATATATACAACGCATGGACGGGACTACCGTATTTTCTTGAGTATAGTGCGCACTTTTTTTCAAAAAAACACAGCTGTACAACATCAGTTCGTTATATCGGTCAGTTCGTTATAAGCGTGTTCGTTATAACCGTAGTTTACTGTAATAATAAAGAATAAAATATTCTGCCGAAAAGAAACTGTTCAACAACCAGCTTATGCTGATTCTCTAGTATTTCGCTGTTGGCTATAAATAGCCTAACATTCACAGTGCCCTCTGCCTTGCAATATGCCATCTTAGATCTCTGTAATTTGAATACGTATTATTCAGGGTTGTGATTTACCTGCTTATAGAAAGAATATCAACTTATGAAATAATAGTGCTGTATCAGATACAAATCATATCACACCCATAGTAATGGGGTACATATCGTATCGCAACCCCACCGTATCTTCGCGCTTCTAATAAATGAAACCCTTTTAGTCTGGAACCTGCTAGTCTCGAACCTGCAAGTCTGGACCATGTTATTAGGTTCCTAAGTCCCTTTACTCCTCCTTGTCTGGAAGTTCTGTATTCTAACAATTGTTTTTGGACGTACTAAGAATATGTCAAGATCCGATAATTTAGAACTTTGTCCATCTGGATGAGGAACTGGAATGTCTGTAATGGGTTGTTTTATTGAGTGTTGTAGATATAGAGATTATTATCTGATTGTGTTTCTGTATCATTAGTATCACATGTTAGAAAAATAAATGTATTATACAAGCCTTTGGCGAGCATAATACATATTTTTATTTCTAATACATGCTATTTATGGTATGGAAACCCACAAGGGTAAAAATATTGCCCTTCGTAAAATAGAGGATGTTTTACGACATATTTTTAATCATTGAAGTATCTTAAGAAACCGTGTATGAATAAAATATTTGAGTTAACTGCCCTATTTATCATATGGTGCCACATGATTTATAGCCATATCGGTCTTCAGGCACACGGTCACATTGGGAAAGAGGCTGTCGGGTAGCCTAGTGGTTAAAGCGTTCGCTCGTCACGCCGAAGACCTTGGTTCGATTCCCGACAATGAAGCCTATTTCAGGTGTCCCCCGCCATGATATTGCTGGAATATTGCTAAAAACGGCGTAAAACCATACTCACTCACTCACTCACTCAAATTGGGAAACTCCTATCTATACCTATTGGGAACATCACACAACAATTTATTGTTTAAACATTCATTACATGGATGGATAAGATATTTCCTGCTAGGTAACCTCATTTGCATATTTATCAGATAGCACTATCCAGTATGTGATAAAACTGGTTGTCCATTGATGATAATGATGTTGATTGTCCCCCAGGCAGCACATATCCGGATTCGGCTGGTTTCTGCCACAAAAGAAGTACCGCATCCAGATGTCCAAGATCATGTTCTCCCCGTCCCGCACAGAGAAACCGAATGTAAGGGACCAGTCATTGTATCAGATCATGAGAGATAAGTGTCATCTATTTTGGGCATCAAGTCGTTCAAGCTGGGAGTAAAACCAGGCTATTGGAGCAAAGGGTCCAGGGTATTAATCATAATGGATGGAGATAATATACCCTGGATTAGTGAGGATGTCTATGATGTGTAGAAATATTTTGGATACTTGCCCTTTTAATGATGACTGTCCCTCAATCTGTTAAATTTAAAAAGTATCACGAAAATTACTATTTTGACGTAAAATTTTCATTCTCTGAGCCTGTGGCTCAATCTAAGGTGCTGCAAATCCCTCTGCAGAGTTGTGTCCCTTAGGCATGCCAGAAAACGAAGACCATGGATTCTGATCTTGAATTTGGCCTGATCGTGTTTTAGGTTTGTCAGCACTGTCTGCATGCTCGTGTGTTTCACCAAAGTGGTAAACCTCTGTGACCTGTATCACTTCGGGCGTTCCTCCCAGATGCATCTGTCATGCCATGATATATATCTGGAACAAAGTTAAAACAATCTGACTCACTCACGCACTGGGAACTTGATCAAAGTCATCATACTGCTAAAAAAATATCAAAATCTTCTGGTCATAAGAGTCTGAAGCATGTTAGCAAGATATTTCTGTGAAACATTTTAATCAGCAAAAAAACAACCCTAAGAGTCATTTTTACATTTTTATAAAATAATCTTTATTAATATCTGTTTTGTATTACAGGTGATATTTACAGACAAAATAAAACAATCAAAGAAGACAAGACAAGATGTAGCTCGGGAGAGGAAGAAGTGTAAGACTTCATCATTCCTTTTCTTTGGTATCGGACATAGAGATTATTTGCCGAGTGTGTTTCCGTATAAAAAATATACATGTATCCTATATTAGGAATGAAATTCTATCCATCACGCCTAATGCATATTTATGATACCGAAATACACAATGGTAATGGTCCTTCAACCATAATGGACGTTCCACACCTTAATTCACTGAATGACATGGTTTTAGAAAACGATAATGAATAATTTTTTGAATGGACAACCAGTCCGCAATGAATGTAATGAAATATGAACTCTCAAAATATGCCCTTATCACCCTAGGAGAGCTGAATGTTATGAGCATTTGGTCATTTGGTCATTTAGTCATAAATTGCTTAACTGAAGGTTCAAGTGTATTGTAGGCCATATGTCCATGATACAAAAGAAAATGTATCATCGGCCTATGGTGCATCAGTGTATTGTCCTGCTATTAGTTTAAATACAATCTGGTTTTCCTTGAGAAAAACATGCTTACTGTGCTATGGATATGAGTGAATTCCTCGTCACAAATAATTTGAGGTAAAGAAGTCGTCTGTTGTTGATGTCATCAATGGCGATGTTGCGTGTTGTAGTGGAGACGACCCTGCAGAACATGCAACTTGGAGACCCCTGGCACGAAACCTTCATGGACGACCAGGGTCTGCAGGTAAGTGTCCATGAACCTCTTGGGTTGCTACAATCAGTACCGGTATTTGTTTAACAGCCTTGTGAAGATCCGGGGTAGAATTGGTCTTCAGGAACCCATGCTTGATGTAAGAGGCGACTAATGGGATCGGGTGGTCAGGTTCACTGACTTGGTTGATTCATGTCATGATCATAGACCAATTCCATGGATCGATGCTCATGGTATCAATCACTGGATTGTCTGGTCCAGACTCGTTTATTTACAGACCACCGTCATATAGATGGAATATTGCTGTGTGTGGCGTTAAACAACAAATAAACAAACTTGTTTAAGAACCTACCTGTCTGATTGCATAGTTTCTATCTTGCATAAACAAAAACATATCATTTAATACAAACAATAAAAAAGTTGTTATCCCTTAACTTTCACATCTTTATGATCTTCCAAATATTAAATGCCTATCAAAGACCTTGAACAGATAGTGCTCAAAGAAGAAAATAATTTTGTTTTAAGATTTGGCCCACAATTTGAAATTTTGTGTCCATTTCTTGAACCGCTAATAAATAAAATACAGTTTAGGAAAAAAGATGTGATGTAGACAGGGATTTATCTGGCTCTTCTTCTTAGAGGCTGATACAGGGTTCCATGTCTCCTGTAAATGTCAGTAAAAAAATTGAAAATTGGTTTCTTAAAATGTCCTAATTCATCATGTTCATGTTAATAATATTATAGTCATAACTTGACCTGATGAAGAGAAAGAAGTTTTGATGCCTAGTTTTACATTATTGCCTTAAATGCAATGTTAAATGCAATGTTAAAAATACCCCTTTATTTAAGAAAATACATACCATAAACTATGTTTATAACGAACTGACCGATATAATGAACTTATTTATTAGTCCCGGCCATTTATTGTATATATGCTGTATGTATGCTTATAACAAACTAAGGTTATTACGAACTAAAATTAGTGGTCCCCTTGAGTTCGTTATAACGGTAGTTTACTGTACTTTCAAAAAAACGAAGTTTTGAAGTAAATAATAAATGTTTTGCCAATTGGCGCCAAGGGATACTAAGTTTTAAGTCCTAGATGAATCCCTGGTTGAGTGAAGACCTGTTTGTTTCAGTCGACAGTGTACGCCCCCAAGGGAGAAGTGAAGGAATCGGGCGCCATGTTCCACGTTATCCTGCGATACCAGGGGACTAGTCAGATTTCAACCTACCTCACGCGCTTGTACAAACCAGAAAAGGTAATGTTCCCTAACAACTGATTCCATAGTGCAGAAGTTCTGCAGGACAGCTCACCAGTTTCAATTGGCCGACTGATGAGTGATGTCATTTTATTGTGATGTCATGGTAACAGATGATGTCACAATGGTCTGCAATGCAGGGAAATTGAAGCAATGTCGGCCTTTGCAACTTTGATCTGCCGGACCACGCCATTTCATGTCGGTGCCAGAATGTTTAGAATTTAAGTGTTTTCTGTTCAAGCATGACATTTCAGTGTTGGGAAATTTGAATCGAAAAATAATCCAAGCTACAGGAATTTGGGATTATTTCTGCTGCATGAATGAACGATTTAAAATGAAATATTATATAGAGAATCTCACCCGAGTGTCTTTTGATATAAAATATATCAACATGAGTTGATAAAAGTGGAAAAACTCCAAGGCTTGCCGAGGATTTTTGCCACTTTTGTCAACGAGTGTTGATATATTTGATATCAAAAGACACAAGGGTGAGATTTTATTTATCATCCAAAATCATTCTTCCAACTTTTCCAGTTTGTCGACAGAAATATGCAGTGTCTTAAGTGTAAAAAGAACTGCCAACAGCTTCAGTAGCAGAGCCATTTGTGATGTCATTTGATTGTGATGTCATTATTACCGTGATGTCACAATGGTCTGCAAAGCATTGTGATGCAATTTCATTGCAGCTATATCTACAGTGTAGATATCACTTGATCTCACCCAAGCGAAATCTCCTGTGGGAGCCAATTTTGGATGATAAAATATTGTAACCAATATGGCCAAGAGATATATCATAAACGAATGGAGAAATATGCTACACAAAAATAGTTAAGGACCCCCTGATTCTTTCATGTTATTATAGTTATTGTCATGGCATTCAAGAAGGAATTGGTCTGCATGACAGATTAACTATAGTAGCGTTAGTAAGAAAGAATTGGATGGTCCTTAACTTTGTTTTAGTAGTATGATAATGAAGGATGGGTCTGTTTGGGCTTTGTGGTGAGTTCGGGGCAGTCGGTAGCCTAGTGGATAAAGCGTTCGCTCGTCACGCCAAAGACCCGGGTTCGATTCCCGACATGGGTACAATGTGTGAAGACCATTTCTGGTGTCCCCCGCCATGATATTGCTGGAATATTGCTAAAAGCGGCGTAAAACCATACTCACTCACTCACTCACTTGTGGTGAGTTCAGTAAATGTTTTGTTTTGGAGATCTGGATTGGATTAGAAGCTGGATTGGGGTAGTGTGTCAAGTCAGTCCTGTTTTCATGCCTTCAATATGTTGTTATGTGAGTTATCTCCCATGCACCAGGTGAAGTGTTCTGGCATCCTGGAGGTGTGTCAGACGTCCAGTGGGAGGGACATGGTGTTCCTGCTGTTGTACCCCCAGTTCCCGCCCAAAGGTCAGTGGCAGGTCCTGCACAGGAAGTACAGGATTATCTTGAGTAGTGTTGGATGAGGGGGTCATAAATTCCCAACATGGTATTAAGTAGCTTCAACTGGGTTATCCTCCAGTGAGAAAAAGGTATTCTTATTTCTGTTCCCCAAAAAGGGAATTCAGAAACTGGTGTCGTTTTAAAATATTAAAATATTCTGAAATTAGAGTTTGAAATGTTTGAACCAGCCTGAAGCAAGCTTTTGTGCACTCACTCACTCTCTCACTCACTCACTCACTCACTCAGCAACCCACCCACCCAGCCACCCACCCACCCACTCACTCACTCACTCACTCACTCACTCACTCATACCAAGGATAAGAACACATTCAAATATCATTATACGTATCTGATCATAAGCAAAGTATCGTTATACGTATCGGAGAACACTGTTGGTGTCTGGTCCCAACCCTAAATCCCACCCACTCACTCAAAGAAAGGTATGGTATATCTTTGGGCTGTAACAATCATCGATACTTAGGTACACACGATACTTGAATCATCAGTTTGTGAGATCGCAATACACCATAAATAGAACAGAAACAATAGTTACCTCCCATAATGGCCGAAGTAGCATAGCGCCACCATTAAGCATGGCAGAACACAAGGATGTGGTGGCTCACAAGGACGTGGTGGCTGAGGACGCGCCGACTAACTGTTACTTTTAATAACCATCCCTTCATTTAAACCAGTTTTGTTCTTGTGGTTTTCTTTGTTAAAGTTTTTTAGATAACAATAAATGTATGGAGAAAGAGGTTTTAGAGCTGCAATTTCGTGATCATTTCTTACTCTTTGATGTGGGGTATCGTAATACCAGCAGTATCATCAGTCCGTATAATGATACAAATCGTTTCGCAAAATACCAGGCGATACTCAGCTCTAGGAAGGTAATGATATAACCTAGAGTGAACTTTATACCCAACAAGAATCTTTATTTTATGATAATATTTAAAGACGCTGTCAAGTAACCAAGACATGTTTCATGTGGTTTGGCTTTTGCAGATGCACATATGACAGTTCTGGTCCTTGACCTTCGAACTATGAAGTTGAAGGACATTAGACGGGACATCCCTCTGACGGACGCGGAATACAAGGAAGTGCTGCAGAAGGATGTTGTATCTTGTGATGTAAGTTGATACAATGTAATACAACCCTTTTGCACCCAAAAAAGTGTTTTCCTTTCAACATCCAAGTCCACGAACACTTTGAATACTGTACTAACTGATACTCTGTATAGAGTAGCCTACCGATAATGACCGAGAAAGAATAACTTTTCTATAGATATAAGCTTCTTCGTCAAAATCAGAGGTGATTATTGTGATTTGAAGCCTCTGACTGACCAATCAGAATGGACTATTTTCCAAATTCATGGTAGAACTGTGTTGGGTTTAACGCCACTTTTACAGTTTTATGGTTACATCACAATGTGTCAGTTTGATGTAGGGGGAAAGCCTGAATTGATGCAAGTTTCAGACGTTTACCACTTTTGCGAAAACATTTGATGAGGCGTGTGGTACTGACAGATCAACAACCATAATTGTGACTATTCTGAGCTATTCAAGCCAAAGTCCTGCAAATCCTGGTCAAATACCAGTGCAAATACTGATCAAATCCAGGTCAAATTCCAGTCAAATACCAGTCAAATACTGGTCAAGTACCAGTCAAATTCAGGTCAAATACTAGTCAAATACCAGTCAAATACCAGTCAAATACCGGTCAAATACCAGTCAAATACCGGTCAAATCCAGGTCAATTACCGGTCAAATACCAGTCAAGTACAGGTCAAATACTGGTCAAATACAGGTCAATTACCAGTCGAATACAAGTCAAATACTGGTCAAATTCAGGTCAAATACTAGTCAAATACCGGTCAAATACCAGTCAAATACTGGTCAAATCCAGGTCAATTACCGGTCAGATACCGGTCAAATACAGGTCAAATACTGGTCAAATACAGGTCAATTACCAGTCGAATACCAGTCAAATACCGGTCAAGTCCCGGTCAAGTCCCGGTCACGTCCTGGTCAAGTCTGATCAAATCCTGGTCAAGCTAGCCATGGTTGTGGACATGTACTACTGTGGTGAAACTCCTGCGTGGCCTACCGGTTCTCAGAAACCAAGGCTCAGAATCAGGGATTCAAACCCACAATCTGCGGATCCTCGCAGCTAAGGGATGCAACTCTGCACAGTAAATTTCACCTCCTTTGACCACTGGGCTAATCCTGAGCCTGTCAGATTTGAGGGTGCCAACACCCACCCTAAGGCATCCAGCGAACCACTTAATTTGTCATGTAATACAAGTTAACATTCAGACTTGTCAGTGTACACAGCTAAATTAGACTGGAGTTTTTACATAGAATGCATGACCATGCATGCTCATAAGCTTAGGGCAAAATGTTTTATGGAATTGTCACTCAGTACAAGATAAAAAGACGTAAAGTTAATGTCAACATTGAAATACTGACTTCCGTATACCAGATAAACATATTATGGCAGCGTACTGCATTCCGGCATCTGGAATGCCAAACAGGGTTCGGCATCCTCAGATTTGGTTCTCAGTATCCCTTGTGGGTGAAAGTGGCCATCGTTGAATGGGTATTGGATGGCCACAATGGTGCTTGGTTTGGATAATTTTTATGTTAGTGAGTCCACAAGCAGTAATTATCTCCTGGTTTGTTGATGATATATATGCTGAAGGGGTCCTGTCGACACAGGTACTACAGTAATGTACCCCTAATACTTTTCTGTATACACAAATGTACCCTTGCCAAAATCAAAATACAATTTGAAGCCAAGATGGTAATTCTGAAAGATTTTGGCTCTTTACATATTAATGTTGGTCTGGTTTCTCAAGGCTGAAGGGGTCCTGGTACTACAGAAACGTACCCTAGGATGAGTCCATTTCACCGCAGGGCTGCAGGGCCGCAGGGCCGCAGGGCCGCAGGGCCGCAGGGCGCAATGCACATAACCAGTTCTTTAGGTATTCGCCACTTCCTGTATGCCAAACTGCGGTTAAATTCAACATGGCACTACGCGTTCGACAGGAGGAACTTTTAGATTATCTTGTGAAAACTGTAATGTTAAGCAAGGTCAGAGAGCTCTTGGCAAAAGATCGTGCAGAAGTAACGCGCATGCACTCTTAACCAGGCAACCCAGAACTACAACATGAACCGGTTTCGGTTTCGGTTTGAGGAATATGGACTCATCTGCTGTTTAGGGTACCAGGTGTGTTTCTGTATTCTAATTTTGGCTAGGGTACATTTCTGTACCTGGGCCGAAAACAACCCCTTCAGCGATATTGCTATTGCTGACTTGACACGCCAGGCTGACTTGTTCAAGTCTAGTCATAGTTGTCTTTCTCCAGTTATTGTTTTTGACTTCAGGTTTCCCGAGTGTTTGGGCCGACAGGCTCTGAGTACCTCTTCCTGACATTCAATGGCCGTCTGCGTGTCTTGTCCCTCAACACAGGCAAACTTGTGATGAGAGCAGAAAATGTGTCCAGGCCATCGTGTGAGTTGTCTCCCTGTGCGTTGTCCTTGGTAAACTTTTGTATGAACCGGGTACATTGTGGAACTGGAGGTTGACGGTTTAGATACAGTAAGTCTGGAAAACTGTGAGTGACACACACTTGCAATAGTTTCATGATGCAGTTATTTTTAGTTAAATACACAACTCCCACCTTCCTTCTCAACAATGACAACACATGCATATATAGTAAATAAATCTCTGACTGACACTGAGTCACCATTTCATCATCACGCTTCCTACTAATAACCCATGCAAAAGTAGCTTTGATCTTAAGTGATGTTAACAGAGTGTAGCAAAACTTTCCAGGCAATTTTGGGGGGGTTTCGGGTGAAGCCATGGGATTTTAACAAATTTGTGGTCACTAAAATTCGTGGAAATTCACGGATCCACGGAAGATTCTCACCCCTGACTGAGACATGGCAGGAATAAAATAAAAACTCCTCTCAAAATAATTTATTCCATCTGACATTTCATATTTTGATCTACAAGCTATAGTGAGTGAGTGAGTATGGTTTTATGCCGCTTTTAGCAATATTCCAGCAAAATCACGGCGGGGGACACCAGAAATGGTCTTCACACATTGTACCCATGTCGGGAATCGAACCTGGGTCTTCGGCGTGACGAGCGAATGCTTTAACCACTAGGCTTCCCAACCGCCCCTCAACAAGCTATAAGGCCTACTGCGGTAGTCTTTCATTGTCAGACCTTCCCCTCAGAGAAACAACACACTAAACAATATAAGGAGGCATATTTCCTTTATTCACTTCCACACATTGTTAAACAGCCAGTTGCATGATTTGTCTTGAAATAATAAAAGGATTGGTTCTCAGGCAATGACTGTTGAAAAAATAGTGCAAGTGGGCAGTGTATTTATTCCCTTGTTCAAACTGGTTTGTAACCAAATAAACAGTTGTATACCATCGCCCTGGGAAAGGGCCTCCCTACATAAACAAGCATACAAACTCTTATTGCCGCCATGACCATAACACGAGATGCACAGTAAAGCGGTGCGCATGTAAAGGGACGTAACTGTGTGCTATATTGGATGGCATTGTTTTTAAGTAATAGGATTATTTGATTTTTTTGAAAATGGAAATAAAATCGAAACACTTTATGATGATGCGGGCGGTGCCTGAGAACCAAAACTGTTATGCTTTTAAGCCTTAAATGAATAATCTCACACATCCTGTTTCCTTTGAAATCGGGGGCACGGGTGGCCTAGTCGTCTAAGCGCCGTGATTCACTGTGCAGAGTTGCGTCCCTTGGGCACGCCAGAAACCTATGATTGTGGGTTCGAATCCCGGTTCGCCCTGATTATGTTTTTAGGTTTGTCAGCACCATACCCATGCTCATGGGTTTCACCGAAGTGGTAAGCACCTGAGACCTGCATCACTTCGGGCTTTCCTCCCACATTAAGCTGACATGCCGTGATATAACTGGAATACTGTTAAAAGCGGCGTAAAAACTCACTCACTCACTCAGTCTTTTAAAACACATTGTCAGCTAGTGTCAAGAGTCTGCCTCAGCAGGAAAATTCACTAACCTGCCACATCTCCAGGCTCCTACCCAGGTCCTACTCAGGACCCACCCGACCCGAGTACCCGAGTTACCCGTCCCTGCCCTATACAGTAATCACTTACTGACACTGAGTGACCATTTCATCACACTGCGTCACACTAATACAAGATAACAGTGCAAAGTTGTTTGATATTTGGTAATCTCATGAACACTACAAAACTTTCCAGACGTAGTTACTATTGTTAGCTGCTCACAATAATTTAATGGCGCAAAACTTTCCAGGTTTACAGTATGTTTTCACCCATATACCATGAAATAAAAAAGTAATTAGTTTTGCAGTTTTCTACAGTTGTGACTTTTCTTTTCAGACTTTGGCGGGAATGCCCTTGACGAGAGGCTGCTCCCCCTTCAGGCCAATGCCGAAGTTACAACTGTGTGTAGTGGCGGCAGGATCTACGCAGTCCTGTACAGCATGGTAGGACAGCAGATTCTGATTACCGTATTCGACGTAATAAGCGCCCCGCTCTAATAAGCGCCCATGGCGATATTTGTTAATATATTGGCTAGTGAACAATCCCAATTAGCACCCTTTCAGATTGAGCAATGTACACAAGACTTATTTATTCGTGTATAATACGCACTCATGTGTTATATGCACCCTTAATTATGGGCAATTAAATTCTGGAAAAATATATCTGTCGAATATAAACATTTCAGGCTGTCAGCATAAACCACGAAATTTATCTTTCAGCTCTGGTTTTTGCCACCAAAATACCATTCTAATAAGAGCCCCCTCTTTCTAATTTTGAGAGCGCCCTAGGCGCTTATTACGACGAATACAGTATATATCTTTAATATTATTGTGTTCAGTATTTTGAGTTGGGTTCATGCTTGAAGTGGGGGCACGGGTGGCCCAGTCGTCTAAGGCGCCGCGATTCGCTGTGCAGAGTTGCGTCCCTTGGGCACACCAGAAACCTATGATTGTGTGCTCGAATCCCGGTTCGCCCCAATTATGTTTCTAGGTTTGTCAGCACCATACCCGTGCTCGTGGGGTTCACCGAAGTGGTAAACGTCTGAGACCTGCATCACTTCGGGCTTTCCTCCCACATTAAGCTGACATGCCGCGATATAACTGGAATACTGTTAAAAGCGGCGTTAAACCCAACTCACTCACTCACTCACTCATGCTTGAAGTGAAGTGACACAACTAATATGTTTGTTGTTTATGCCACACCCTGCAGTATTCCAGCTATATGATGGCGCCCTGTAAATAATCAAGTCTGGACCAGACAATCCAGTGATTGATATGAACATCGATCCATACCATTGGGATACAATGACACGCATCAACCAAGTCAGCGAGACTGACCACCCGATCCTTTCAGTCGCCTGTTATGAAGACAGGTGGCTATATTCTAACTCAGAACCCCTACGGGGGAGAGATAGCACGTGTCAGGATTTGTATCCTGGGTTTACTCAGTTTGGGCAAAACTTGGAATCAAATGGGGACCACAGCAACAGTATATATAAAATATGGAGCCCAGAGAATAATCAGATTCCACTGGGTGTTAAAGGAAAAAGAGGGATGAAAACTATATAAATGGATCATTGTTCATCAGTGCAGACACCAGGTGATTGTGAAATGGGTAGGCATGTCCTGTTCAACCGGTAGCACCCACTACTCACACATTTTGCATAAAAAAGTCTGTTTGCTGCTTGATACAGAAAATTAACAAAAATAATTTTGTGTTTTATTACTGGGCAAAACAATGTTCCTTCTGACACAGACTTGTTTTACCTTAGACCTCTTATGTCCCCAAGTTAAGCAATGTGATGATGACTTTGGTTTTTCTCTCAGACATCAACTGTTCTGCACATCCTGGAGGTGAGAGACGAGCACGACCACGACACACGCAGGATGATGATCAAAGCATATCAAACAGGGTAGGTGGTTCATCTGGTCAGGTCGTATCAAACAGGGTAGGTGGTTCACCTGTAGTGGTCGTATCAAACAGGGTAGGTGTTTCACCTGTAGTGGTCGTATCAAACAGGGTAGGTGGTTAACCTGGTCATGTCGTATCAAACAGGGTAGGTGGTTCACCAGTAGTGGTTGTATCAAACAGGGTAGGTAGTTCACCTGTAGTGGTCGTATCAAACAGGGTAGGTGGTCCATCTGTATTGGTCGTATCAAACAGGGTAGGTGGTCCATATGTATCGGTCGTATCAAACAGGGTAGGTGGTCCATATGTATTGGTCGTATCAAACAGGGTAGGTGGTCCATCTGTATTGGTTGTATCAAACAGGGTAGGTGGTTCACCTGTAGTGGTCGTGTCAAACAGGGTAGGTGGTGCACCTGTAGTGGTCGTATCAAACAGGGAAGGTGGTCCATCTGTATTGGTCGTATCAAACAGGGTAGGTGGTTCACCTGAAGTGGTCGTATCAAACAGGTTAGTTGGTTCACCTGTTCAGGTTGTATCAAACAGGGTAGGTCGTTCACCTGACCAGGTTGTATAAAACAGGGTAGGTGGTTCATCTGGTCAGGTCATATCAAACAGGGTAGGTAGTTCATCTAGTCAGGTCATATCAAACAGGGTAGTTTGTTCACCTTGTCAGGTCGTATCAAACAGGGGAATTTGTTCATCTGGTCAGGTCGTATCAAACAGGGTAGGTGGTTCACCTGGTCAGGTCGTATCAAACAGGGTAGGTGGTTCACCTGGTCAGGTCGTAACAAACAGAGCAGGTGGTTCACCTGGTCAGGTCGTATCAAACAGGGTAATTTGTTCATCTGGTCAGGTCGTATCAAACAGGATAGGTGGTTCATCTGGTCAGGTCGTATCAAACAGGGTAGGTGGTTCACCTGTATTCGTCGTATCAAACAGGGTAGGTGGTTTATCTGGTCAGGTCGTATCAAACAGGGTAGGTGGTTCATCTGGTCAGGTCGTATTGAACAGAGAAGGTGGTTCATCTGGTCACGTCGTATCAAACAGGGTAGGTGGTTCATCCAGTCAGGTCATATCAAACAGGGTAGTTTGTTCACCTGGTCAGGTCGTATTGAACAGGGTAGGTGGTTCACCTGGTCAGGTTGTATCAAACAGGATAGTTTGTTCACCTGGTCAGGTCGTATCAAACAGGGTAGTTTGTTTACCTGGTCAGGTCGTATCAAACAGGTTAGTTTGTTCACCTTGTCAGGTCTTTTCAAACAGGGTAGTTTGTTTACCTGGTCAGGTCGTATCAAACAGGGTAGTTTGTTTACCTGGTCAGGTCGTATCAAACAGGGTAGTTTGTTTACCTGGTCAGGTCGTATCAAACAGGGTAGGTGGTTCACCTGGTCAGGTCGTATCAAACAGGGTAGGTGGTTCACCTCGTCAGGTCGTATCAAACAGGGTAATTTGTTCATCTGGTCAGGTCGTATCAAACAGAGCAGGTGGTTCACCTGGTCAGGTCGTATCAAACAGGGTAATTTGTTCATCTGGTCAGGTCGTATCAAACAGGGTAGATGGTTCATCTGGTCAGGTCGTATCAAACAGGGTAGTTTGTTCACCTGGTCAGGTCGTATCAAACAGGGTAGGTGGTTCATCCAGTCAGGTCATATCAAACAGGGTAGTTTGTTCACCTGGTCAGGTCGTATCAAACAGGGTAGGTGGTTCATCCAGTCAGGTCATATCAAACAGGGTAGTTTGTTCACCTGGTCAGGTCGTATCAAACAGGGTAGGTGGTTCATCTGGTCATGTGGTATCAAACAGGGTAGGTGGTTCACCTGTATTCGTCGTATCAAACAGGGTAGGTGGTTTATCTGGTCAGGTGGTATCAAAGAGGGTAGGTGGTTCATCCAGTGAGGTCGTATCAAACAGGGTAGATGGTTCATCTGGTCAGGTGGTATCAAACAGGGTAGTTTGTTCACCTTGTCAGGTCGTATCAAACAGGGTAGGTGGTTCACCTGTATTCGTCGTATCAAACAGGGTAGGTGGTTTATCTGGTCAGTTCGTATCAAACAGGGTAGGTGGTTCATCCAGTCAGATCTTATTAAACAGGGTAGTTTGTTCATCTGGTCAGGTCGTATCAAACAGGGTAGATGGTTCACCTGGTCAGGTCGTATCAAACAGGGTAGGTGGTTCATCTGGTCATGTGGTATCAAACAGGGTAGGTGGTTCACCTGTATTCGTCGTATCAAACAGGGTAGGTGGTTTATCTGGTCAGGTGGTATCAAACAGGGTAGTTTGTTCACCTGGTCAGGTCGTATCAAACAGGGTAGGTGGTTCACCTGTATTCGTCGTATCAAACAGGGTAGGTGGTTTATCTGGTCAGTTCGTATCAAAGAGGGTAGGTGGTTCATCCAGTCAGATCTTATTAAACAGGGTAGTTTGTTCATCTGGTCAGGTCGTATCAAACAGGGTAGGTGGTTCACCTGGTCAGGTCGTATCAAACAGGGTAGGTGGTTCATCCAGTCAGGTCATATCAAACAGGGTAGTTTGTTCACCTGGTCAGGTCGTATTGAACAGGGTAGGTGGTTCATCTGGTCAGGTCGTATTGAACAGGGTAGTTTGTTCACCTGGTCAGGTCGTATCAAACAGGGTAGGTGGTTCACCTCGTCAGGTCGTATCAAACAGGGTAGGTGATTCACCTGTTCAGGTCGTATTGAACAGGGGACAGTAGGTGTTCTGTGTAAAATGGAAGAATCGGGGATTGCTGTGGACTGTTATGCCGGGATTTTGAACCACTTTGACCTGACACAATGTAACATAACTGAATCACTGCCTGATTTAACCCAACTCACTCACTCACTCATGCCAATGCCGTCGATGTTGAATCATGTTCTCAGGTATGACACAGAAATGGTAGGCAGTGAGATTCGTGTGGATCCTGTTGCCTGGCAACAGAACGACCTTCAGCACAAGACGGTGGAGATGCAGAAGCTGGTGATGGAGGCTGTCGACAATGCTGTCGGTCATCGGGGACGGGGGACGCCCAGCAAGAGCCAACAGTTGGACCAAGCCCTCAAGGACAAGACAGAGATGTACTTGGCACTGGAGGACAAGGTACTGCTCTGGCCTCACGTTTCATCGCCATGATGATGTTCTCAGGGGAGGCAGGACCTTGACACTCCTTCCCTAGCTATTGTACATAGACATCATTTTTGTGCTTTATTTATATATCTTGTTTACTTGTTTGTTTGTTGTTTGACACTGCACTCCACAATATTCTAGCAATATGATCGCGGTGAAAATAATCGTGTCTCCAGTGATTGACATCATGAGCATCGATGTAGGCAAATGGGATGTGATGGCCTGCATCAGGGTTAGAAACTAACAATTTTTTACCACTAGTCCTTATAATGATAACATATAGCAAAAACCTTAAAATGGGACAATTTCTATTAGTCCTTAGGATACCTTTACTATTGGGCAGTTTGGTAAGGACTACAGGCCTAGTGCCAGTTTCTAACCCTGATGCATTAACAAAATCAGCGAGCCTGCCCACCCGATCCCGTTAGTTGCCTCTTACGACAAGCATGGATCTTCACGGGTTTGTTGATATATCAATTAACTGTTGCAACTTGTGCTGATAAATTGGTCAACTACAAAACAACATCTGTTGTTAAATGTGTTTGAACATAGTAGGGATAAGAATTTATGGATGAACAACTTCTTTATTACAATTAAGAGCGACGTTTCAGTGTAGATTCTAACACCGTTATCAAGCAAGTGATATACATCAACTCATCAAAGACCCCAATCAGCCATAATCCTGTTGTATATATTACTGGCTTCATCCTTTGTTTATGTCACTGACTTCGCTGATGATTGTCATCACTACCCTTGTGTGTTCATAACAGGCTTCTCTACTCCAGTATAACAATATCTACTCTACTGTATAAACATTGCTTCCTACTTGTATTTGTACTTGCCAACCACACTCTGTATATCACCTGCATGATAACGGTATTAGAACCTACACAGAAACATCGCACTGAATTGTAATAAAGAAGTTGCTCATCCATAAATTCTTATTCTTACTTAGTACTCCAACTTCTAAGTGCCTATCAAAGAAGGTATTTGAACATGTATTGCAGGTTGACTCGGCAGCGCTCCTGGATGGAGTGTCACCCGATGAGCGCAGGCGAGCGGAACGCTGAGGAACACCGGAACCACGAAACCATATGCCAGTGGTATTCCTGACAAGAGTGGATCAGTATACTACTCAAGTTTTGATTGGGATTGTCCATGTGGGAATTGAATGAGAGTGGTCGCTTGGAGATGTTATCAAACTGAAAGTGTTCAAAAACTCATTGGAGGAAATGTTTCTATGTTTATGTCTATGTCCATCTTCCCGAGGCAAGGGAGTTAACTGACTATAAAAGTCTGGAATTCCTCAGGTAAATATTGGCTGGACTAACGAGTCTATGCATAGTCCAATCAAAATCGCATGACAAACTGGTTATCCGACTGGTCAATAGGAGGCACATAGAAGGGACATAACTCGTAATAGCCACCCACTGGTGGCGCTACGATCAAGCCCAGAAATTCCTGCCTAGTTCAGCAAGGGTAGAAGCTGGACTTTTATGATCAGTTAATGACCTTGCCTCAGGAAGATGGTCTATGTCAAAGTTTCTTGCTATGAAACCCAGGTTTCCATATTGATGAGAAAGTTTTATGACATTCAAGTCCATAATTCAATAAGGGGTGGGTACAGGTGGGCACAGGTGGGCAAGTACTGAGTTCCGACCCTTAGGTTCACCAGTGACCTCTGATCGTGGGTTTGAATCCAAGTCCACCTAGGTTTGTCTGAGCCATAACTATGCATAGGGTTTCACCAGAAGGGTAAACATCGAAGACCTGCATCACTTCAGCGTTTCCTCCCACATTAAGCTGACGTCCTGATGTAACTGAAATACTGTTCAAAGCGGCGTGAAATAACAAGTTCACTTCGGGTGGTCAGTGTGAGATCATGTCTTCAGGGGGTAGCCATGTGGTTGAGGTGGTGGTCTCTATGCAGAAGGAACGGGTTCAAATCCCACAAGGGTACAATGTGTAAAGATCATTATTGGTAAAACTGACATAAAACTATACTCACTTTTTGATTGTTGTGTGTCAATCTCATTAAAATCAGATCTTGGGTATCGCTCCCGCCAAACAAAGATCTGAGGACATCCCATTACAGGTCACGTCAGAACGACCTTTCATCCGGCCAATCAGAGCATTGCTTACCAGATCAGGAAAGGGACAGTCGTAATTTGTTTTCTAATCATGCAACCTTGAAGGGGTATTCCGAACGACAGTTACGGGCTTTACGACTGAATCCATACAATCTTGGCCATCGAATAGCCATTCCCAAATGTTCCTTTGTTCAGTTTTCAAATTTTTAATTGAGAATTTGTCAAAATATATTTCGAAGTGTAGTCGCCAGTTTGAAACTAGTGCCGTAAAGCATGAGAAAGCTGCCTTCTGATTGGCTAATGTCGACTTCTTGTCAGTCAATCCATTGGTCGGTCAAAGTTTGGAAAGGTCGGTCTGACGTGAACCGTAATGGGATATCCTCAGATCTTTGTTTAGCGGCAGTGAGAACTAAGATCTGATTTTAATGAGATTGGTTATGTGTATACTGAAGATCTGATTACCTTCCCAATCTTATACTGTAATATATTATACAAGTACACTCACTTTCTGTGATCCTTGCATCCATCCATCCATCCATCCATCCATCCATCCATCCATCCATCCATCCATCAATTCATTCATTCATTCATTCATTCATTCATGCATGCTTCCATGTATAAATGATTCCATGTATAAATGATACTTACGAATATTTTGTATACATTTCTTTACTCATAGGTATGCTTAATACCTGCACATGAAAACATACTTTTTATCCAATGTTCTGTATATTTCCAGATTTTGTTCATGCCAAAATTGTTACTGTTATGGTGGTTGAAACATGTGAAAGTTTATTTTCGTGAAAAAATGAGAAAATATTGCTTTCTTTCATGTTTTGAACTTTTGAAATATGTTGGAGTCGAAGTCAAGGGTATTAGTGAGCCCTGCTCACTTTTTTTGTTCCTCACAGCAAAGACCTAGGTTTGATCCTTCCAGGGAATTGGGAAGTCTGTGGTGTCCACATTGCTGGAATATTGATAACAGCAGATCGCTCCATACCCACTCACTCACTGACTCTCTGCTTGCAGACAATAATTTTGATCAAGCAAAGGCATTGTTGTAAATTGTCTGGAGATGTGCAGACTGAAAGTTTCACATATGTGGAAAAAAAAGCCTTCTTGAGGAATTGTTTCATACCTGTTGATTCTGTTAACTAATATTAGTACCTGAAAATGTAAAAATAGCAGATAAGGTCAATATGCACAGGGAATATGCCCTTTTTTATATCCTTTATTATTTCAACCATCAAACAATGTTTTAAGAGATGTCCACAAGAACCATATTACTTTTGTCATATATTTTACATCAAGTTGTTGGTATTTGTTTGTTGGTGTTTTGTTGTTTAACACTCAGCATTATTCCAGCTGTATAATGGCGGCCTGTAAATAATCAAGTCAGGGCCCTGTTCTATAAAGCTTTCGCAGTGCTACGATCATAAGTCTATGTTAAAGTATGGGAGTTACGATCATCTTAGCACTACGACTATCGTCAGTCTATGGTAAAGGATGGGAGTTATGATCACCTTAGCACTACGACTGTTGTAAGTCTATGATAAAATATGGGAGTAACGATCACCTTAGCACTACGACTGTCGTAAGTCTATGTTAAAGTATGGGAGTTTCGATCACCTTATCACTACGACTGTCGTAAATCTATGTTAAAGTATGGGAGTTACGATCACCTTATCACTACGACTGTCGTAAGTCTATGTTAAAGTATGGGAGTTACGATCACCTTAGCACTACGACTGTCGTAAATCTATGTTAAAGTATGGGAGTTACGATCACCTTAGCGCAACAACTGTCGTAAGTCTATGTTAAAGTATGGGAGTTACGATCACCTTAGCGCAACAACTGTCGTAAGTCTATGTTAAAGTATGGGAGTTACGATCACCTTATCACTACGACTGTCGTAAATCTATGTTAAAGTATGGGAGTTACGATCACCTTATCACTACGACTGTCGTAAATCTATGTTAAAGTATGGGAGTTACGATCACCTTATCACTACGACTGTCGTAAGTCTATGTTAAAGTATGGGAGTTATGATCACCTTAGCACTACGACTGTCGTAAGTCTATGATAAAGTATGGGAGCTACGATTACCTTAGCGCATCAACTGTAGTAAGTCTATGTTAAAGTATGGGACTGACGATAATCTTTTAAGTCGCTTTCTGGAACAGGCTTGTTCTCAAACCATATCTCTAGAGGTATGCCAAGCATGTTTCTGAGGCGACAGGGCATGTATATAGTTTAAAAGGAGTGACATATCTGATAACCTGGCATTTGTGTAATTATTCGAAGTCGGTCACGTTATAGTTCCTGATCTTGTATTTGTGTAATGTGTCATATCTCTCCTACTGATAGTGCTATTGTTATCAACTGCATGTAGTTCGTCATCTCATTCCAGCATGCATCCTGTTATGAGCTTCCACTTTGAAGCAAGTGCTTTATGATCATGTTAAATAACGATATAAGGGTAACGCTATTTTCCACAAATGATATATTTAACACAAATGATAAGGCCCTGAAAAATAGCGTTACTGTTATTACAGCATAACTGGATAGAATTTGTTATCTAATAAAAATAAACAATATCGGTTTTGAAATATTTACTTTAATCAACACACTGATCCAAGTTTACAGATATGGAAACATCATAGAACAAACCAGATGATGTCACTATTGAACGTGACATCACCTATCCCTATACCTATGACGTCATCGGATGTGATATTGCCTGTCAAGCAATATGAGGGCATTATCAAGTTACAGTGGCCCGCTCATTTCTGATGACATGCGGGCGGTTTAATGATAATTCTATTCATTTTAGCTATAATGAGCAATAAACATACTTGTTTTTCATCGCTCATTTTGTTACGAGAGTTCTTTTTTTTTTTTAAATAAATTCATTACATTTTTTCACAAACACTGATTATATAATGATATATAAACTCAAAAGACGTTTAAGAACACCAGATTCATTCATATTATTAATTAATCTGTCATGACGAATTAACTTTAGTAATATGAAGGAATCACGAGAACACAGGAAACAAATGAACATGCAAGGTCATCCCCCATTTGTCAGGCAGTTTAAAACAACAACTTTTATGGTTGAGGACACAAATGGGTGTCTGACAAATGGGAGGACCCCATATACAACTGCCGGTATAAGCTCCGCCCACCACCAGTGAAAAAACATTATACACATTACACTTGTTAAATTTGCATAACTGTCGGGGTGGCTGAACAATGTTTGTCTTCATGCGTAAATTCATGACAATGTACACAGGCAAGTGAAAATAAAATGTTTTGAGGATATATTTTGCACTGTACCTCGTTTTTAGTCCACTTTGACGTTGTTCCGTGGTCTAGTGGTAGAGCGTCCGCCCGGAGAGCGGAAGTTCCGGGGTTCGATCCCCGGCCGCGTCATACCAAAAGACGTTAAAAGATGGTACTTGCTGTTACCCTGTCTGGCGCTCGGCATTAAATGGCTAAAACAAGGACTGGTCGGCTCGGAGTCAGTATACTGTGTCTGAGTGGGGTATCCATGTTAAACTGCGGCATGATATCTCAGTGTGCTAGCACTATAAATCGGCATCAGTCCGGACAAGTACAAGCAGCCACACACACACACATACACGTGCATGCACGTCGCTATATAAGCGCAATAATCTTCGACGCGACGTTAAACCCAATTTCACCTCACCTCACTTTGACGTTGTCCACTTACACGTGACAGCGGCGGTGGGGTAGCCTAGTGGTTCAAGGATTTGCGGGTTCATGCCCCACATGGGTGAAATTGGTAAAGCCCATATATGGTATGCCCCATGCTGGAATATTGTTAAAAGTGGGGTAAAACCATATTCACTTACTTATACACACAACACCCGGTAGTTAACTGGTTTAACATCCTCTTAGTGGATGGCACCTGATTAACGGGGAGGTGGACTCTTAGGGTTGTCATCGGTTGGGCATTTATAAACAGTAACAGGAAAATATCATTAAGTGATAGCACAGACAGTATCTCAAATACTAAATACATTTTATGGTTGTTAATTCGTTACTTTGGTTTTCAAGTGGAGCGTGTTGGCTAACACTACAACGTACCGCATTTCTGCTATGTTCTCATTGCTTAATTAAGTTATGCCTACATCGAACCTTTCAGTGTGAGTCATATTCACGTGTTAAGACAAGTTTCTGCCGTGCGGCACTCTTGTTCCACGTTAATTTATTACCTTTTGGCCAGACCGCCTCCGTGGTCTAATGGTTGAGCGTCCGCCCGTAGAGCGGAAGGTCCGGGGTTCGATCCACAGCCGCGTCATACCAAAATACGTTAAAAGATGGTACTTGTTACCCTGTGTGGCGCTCGGCATTAGGGGGCTACAACAAGGACTTTAAATCGGCATCAGTCCGGACTAGTACAAGCACTCACACACACACACACACACACACACACACACACACACGTGCATGCATTCTCTATATAAGTGCAATAATCTTGGACGCGACGTTAAACCCCATTTCACCTCACCTCACCTCACCTTTTGGTCCTCGTCAGGCTATTCTGAACACCCCTCTCCGGGTATCGCAAACACTTATTTTCAGGATATTCCGAACACCCCGGTATTAACCGCGCGTGCGGGCACGCCCGTGTGAAGCCAACTGCTTGTGTCCCCCACCATGATATTGCTGGAATATTGCTAAAAGCGGCGTAAAACCATACTCACTATCCATGGAGACTTGGACCAGAGACCCCAGCCAAAACACCATCTACAGGAAGCCTACCCATTCTGACCAGTACATTCACTCCAACTCCAACCACCCCCCTAAAACTAAGTCTGGCATCATCTCCCCACTGACCAAGTAGGCCCAGCAGCGTGGACACAGGCATGAAGATGTGTGTTCTCAGAACGCCAAGTCCTTTTGGTTCGAGTTGGACAGGGGTGTCAGACAAGTCAATATACTATCAGCGAATCGCAATCTGGTGTATGTGAGTGAGTGAGTTTGGTTTAACGCGGCTTTTAACAGTATTCCAGTTATATCGCGGCGTGTTAGCTTAAGGAAAGCCCGACGTGATGCAGGTCTCAGACGTATACCACTTCGGTGAAACCCACGAGCACGGGTATGGTTCTGACCAACGTAGAATCATAATCGAGGCGAACCGGGATTCGAACCCACAAGCGTAGGTTTCTGGCGTGCCCAAGGGACGCAACTCTGCACAGCGAATCGGGGCGCCTTAGTGAGTGAGTGAGTGAGTTGGGTTTAACGCCGCTTTTAATAGTATCCAGTCATATCACGGCGTGTCAGCTTAATGTTGGAGGAAAGCCCGAGGTGATGCAGGTCTCAGACGTTTACCACTTCGGTGAAAACCACGAGCACGGGTATGGTGCTGACAAACCTAGAAACATAATCGGGGCAAACCGGGATTCGAACCCACAAGCTTAGGTTTCTGGCGTGCCCAAGGGACGCAACTCTGCACAGCGAATCGCGGCGCCTTAGACGTCTTGGCCCCAAAATAGCCACCCCAACGCTGGTCTGTAAATAATCGAGTCTGGACTAACCAATCCAGTGATTGACATCATAAGCATCGATCCACGCATTTTGGATGCGATGACATGCATCAACCAAGTCAGCAAGCCTGACCACCCGATCCCGTTAGTCGTCTTTTTTTTGGGGGGTGGGGGGGGGGGGGGGGTGGTGGTTTGGTTTGTTGTTTAACGCCGCACTCGGCAATTTTCTAGCTATATGACGGTGATCTGTAAATTATCGAGTCCGGACCAGAAAATTCAGTGGTTGATATCATAATCATCGATCCACGCAACTAGGATCGATGACAAGCTTCAACCAAGTCAGCGAGCCTGACCACCCGATCCCGTTAGTTGCCTCTCACGACAAGCATAGTCGCCTTTTACGACAAGCATGAGTTGCTGAAGACCTATTCTGACCCGATCTTCACGGGTTTAGTCGCCTCTTACGGCAAGCATAGCCGCCTTTTACGACAAGCATGAGTTGCTGAAGACCTATTCTGACCCGATCTTCACGGGTTTAGTCGCCTCTTACGACAAGCATAGCCGCCTTTTACCACAAGCACGGGTTGCTGAAGACCTATTCTACTCCGGATCATGATCACAGTCGAAAACTTAACAGACGACGACGTCACGAGCTGATTTGACTGTCTGAATGGCGTTTACATGTTTTGTACGCGAAGTAGTTGGGCAGTAAATCTTATGGGGCGAGTGCAAATACTGCTGGCACTGTGCCAGTATTGAACACAGCCACGCAAGTATTATAACGCCCATTGAAAATGACTTGCTTTGAAAACTTGGGTTTTGTTACCACTTATCGGACGCCGTCAAACGCTGTTCTCTAAAGTATAATCGTAGCCTAGTGCTTTAGATGGACCGATTGCCCCCGTTAGTGTTTACAACAGTCGAGAGTTATGTTTCGCGTTGAAGTGTACTTGAATGACAAGAATTATAACAAGAGTTCCTTATCACCAGTTGCTAAGACGGTCCAGTCAATATCAACCTGTGTTATCAGCTAACTTGAGGGTCTAGAGAAGACCGGTTTTACACGCCATGTTATCGCTACTGTTCTGTCGACATTACCGGATCAAACATTGACTTGAGGTTGGACGTGTTCAACATGGATTTGGCGCGGCAGGAGACAGAGTGAACGGAGAGCCGGTATGCCGATGTAATTCCCTGTTTTTCCAGCTCAAATGATCACGGCCACAGTGTTGATTATTGGGTGTACGTTTAGGCCATGATATCTGAGGGTGTTCGTGATGAGGAATCTTTCACTGACAGGGTGTCACGAGACAGACGACTGGCAGACGTGAAACGCGGGGCTGGATACACTCGGACTATCGACACACTGGCGGACAGGCAATGGAACGCTCACGCAGGGCGCCCAATAGCTGAGAACCCCAAAGTTAAAAATGTCCTACAGTTTCACAGTCGAGCTGTGCATAAAGATTCCCCTAATACACCCGCTATGTCACAAGTGAAGTTCCAACGTTCGCCAGCTCCACCTTTAACTGGATTACAACTTGCGTCACAGCCCTTTAACACCTGGGGAACAAGCAACTGCGAGTTTGACAAGAAGCTGATGCCGGACAACAAATTGAGTGTGGGGCTTCCAAAACGTGGAGTGGTGATGAGTAGAGTTGCCGGAAGTCAACGAGATAGACCTTTCAGGACAAATACGAACTTCAGATCTCGTAATGGAACTATCAGAATAATCGAACCGTTACAACCCCTGCCGCCAAGGGACCAACGAATGAAACAACTGTCTGAGTTCGATCCTGAAGCAGTGGAACGTGAGAAGACCTATCTTATGTTGAGGCGGATTGACCAAATTTTGCATCCTGCCAAGATGTTTTTCAGAAGCGAGGTCAGTTCCTCGGAAATTGAGATAGTGTCTCAGAATGAGGAGAGTGTCGGAGACAGAGTGGGTAGATCCGACCAGGTTTCTTCTCAACAACCAAAACATGGACTACGCCGTGAGAGACTAGCCGATAGGAAAGCAGGACGCAAGACACAGAAACGGTGTGATGGACGGTACAGTTACTCTCTGACTCCTGTCATTGATCAGTTAGAAAAGAGTGAGTTAGATGCTTATAGGAAGTGCCAAATATGGATTGACAGATGTTCGACATTCCCTCAATAAACTCGCAGTGTGTAAGTTATTTACGCAAGTCATCTTGCACCTCTGGGCATGCTTGAGTCCCTTGTGTTTGGAGACTGATGGTGGCGGTAATCGGGAATAATAATAATAATAATAATATTAATATTAATAATATGTCCATTAATTATGCGCCAGATTCTATTCATCAAGTTAAACCATTATTACCCCGATCCATGGATCCGTGTTTTCATTCTCAGCTTCCTGGGGAGTATACAACTGAAGCTGTCTGTGAGGCGCTATAAGGTTAACAGTAACATTACCGTCTCATCCTACCGGGTACCCATTTCCTGAAGGGAAACAGAGGCATATTACGAACAAAGTCTCTTACCAGAGTAGCCTAGTGGTTAAAGCGTTCGCTCGACACGCCGAAGACACGGGTTCGATTCCCGACATGGGTACAATGTGTGGTGTCCCCCGCCGTGATATTGCTGGGATATTCCTGAAAGCGGCGTAAAACCATGCTCACTCACTCTTACCAGAGGAGACAGCACGCGTAACGTAGTACGCGAATTCTGCAATGTGACTGTTCATAGTTAATGCGAAATGTAGACAATAACGTGTATCAACCATAAAGTCTACCAAAAGATAAAAGGACTGTTGCGTGTTCTTTAAACACTGGAACGCAGTTCTATTTGCGCCACTTACAAGATAAACATGCCTGTATGTAAGATAAACGGTCTCATGTTTCCACTGAACATCAGAGACGGTGGGGTCGCCTGATGGTTAAGGCGTTCGCTCGTCAGACTGTAGTCTCGGGTCGATTCCCTACATGGGTGTTGATACTGGAATTGAACATGAAAATGAAAATATTGAGATACCGAACTGGTCCTGTACGTGACCCTCCACATACACATAAATGCATCCTCGATTGTCAAGGGTTGTATATCTCCATTCTTGCGACCACAGCTTCCTTTACATAGTGAGATGCCTCCATCAGTAACTTGGCTTTGTTTTGGTTTGGTTGTTGTTTAACGCCGCACTCACCAATATTCCAGCTATATGACGGCGGTCTGTACATAATCGAGTCTGGACCAGACAATCAAGTGATTGACATCATAAGCATCAATACACGTAATTGGGATACGATGACATGCATCAACCAAGTCAGCGAGCTTGACCACTCGATCCAGTTAGTCGCCACTTACGATAAGCATAGTCGCCTTTTACAGCAAGCACCCCGGATCGTCACTGGTCGTGACGCCATATGAACGAATGTTTGCAAATAGTTGGAGATGACGTCATCCACTGAACATGACGTCTCAAATGAGTTAGCTGACGTAGTTGTAACAATAGACTAACTGCGCTGATGCGTCAACTTGAACAGAAACTCACATGTACACATGTTCATATATTTTCAGGGGCGGTCGGGTAGCCAAGTGGTTAAAGCGTTCGCTCGTCACGCCGAAGACCCGGGTTCGATTCCCGACATGGGTACAATGTGTGAAGCCCATTTCTGGTGTCCCCCGCCGTGATACTGCTGGAATATTGCTAAAAGCGGCGTAAAACCATACTCACTCACTCACTCATATATTTTCAAAGAATGAAGACTTACTAAGGCTCGGGTGTTATTTCACTCGGGACACACAATCCGTATTTCCTCGTAGTTCGTAGTTTATTCTCAAAATATGTTCACCACAAATCAAAGGCTGATGACACGAATTAAACTTAAGATAAACCACCTTTGTATTATAATAGTTATTTATTCCATATGGGCCAAAGGTCAAAATACAAAACAATAACAAAGATAATCTGTAGTCCTCGACACTTGAAATAGAATCACGAAATATAATCACCCAAAGATAGCACATGTCTACATGTGTGCTTATACTTATAAAGTTGAAACAAGCCATTCCGGCGATACGCAATATTACTAACGCTAAATAAATGGCAAAAATTGCAAAGTGTGCTTTTTAAGAAATATCCATTTTGTTGGCAAAAAACATCTTTTAGTTTTGATCACGTGGTTACAATCAGGATAAAGTCGGCAGTAAGGTGACTGCCAGCGGCTATATTTAGCAGCGCGTGCATCACGAACTACGCCAATGGCGCTTTAAATACCACATCTGCACGTTTATTTTGTCTCAGTTCGAGCTGGTAATGAATGTAATCTGCACTTGCTCCTAAGTGTAACCGCTAGAAGTCACCTGGCTGCCGACCTAATGCTATAGGGTAACCGAATTCTTATCAGTATGTGAATAATTAAATGCTTGTTTTTAACTTTGGTGTGATGCTACAATTAACAGACATTATTAAAGGCTCTGTCAAGGAGGTTAAAGTACCGTAAAAATATTCATAAATTGTTTCTAAATATAGTATGCTCAAATATGTTTTGCAACTTGTTTTTAAACAAAACTTTGCATTAATGACTAAATTGTAAATATATTAACTTGGTCTCGTCGCTATATGGCTGAAATAATGCTGATGCGACGTTAAATTTTAACTCACTCACTCTTCAGTAATCAAGATATCCTGAACAATCTCCACTATGTAGCTTTGTTGTGAGAACACCATGAGCGAGAGAAATTATGTGCCAAGTTACTTGACCCGTGGAGATCCGGGTTAGAATAGGTCTTAAGCAACCCATTCTTGTCTCCCCGAGAAGACCCGGGGTAGAATAGATCCTCAGCAACCAATGCTTGCCGTAAAAGTTGACTATGCTTGTCGTAAGAGGCTACTAACGCCTACTAACGGGAACAACTGAGTGAGTTAAAATTATTTCAGCCATATAGCGACAACAACAACAAAAAAAACACCAAAAAACAGAAAAACATATGGCGTCGCGTCGGATCTCTTTGCAAGCTATGAAATATTTGTCCCCCTGATGCAAGACAACCCGTTCTGCCCATAAGGGAAGCCGGACATAGGTTCTGCGAAGCTCATGGGGATTACAGTTTGTCTCACTTTTGCGTAGGAATACATTTGTTTTGGTTTACAGCCGCTAGAAATTTCGACGGTTGTTTGGGTAGGGATCTAGAGACGGTTGCAGTAAGTTTTATTATGGGTAAGAAAGATAATGACCAACCCGGAAACACGGTTTATCTTCCAGTCGGGCATCGCTCACTCAGGATCTATATATATGACATAGATCATCTATTCCCTCACGAAAGATGAACCGTAATTCCTCGTAGGTCGTTGGTTATTCTCTTAAAAATACGACCGCCTCCATGGTCTAATGGTAGAGCGTCCGCCCGGAGAGCGGAAGGTCCGGGGTTCGATCCCCAGCCGCGTCATACCAAAAGACGTTAAAAGATGGTACTTGTTGTTACCCTGTCTGGCGCTCGGCATTTAGAGGCTAAAACAAGGACTGTGTCTGAGTAGAGTATTCATGTTAAACTGCGGCATGGTATCTCAGTGAGCTAGCTCTATAAATCGGCATCAGTCCGGACTAGTACAAGCAGCCACACAAACACTTACACGTGCATGCACGTCGCTATATAAGTGTAATAATCTTGGACGCGACGTTAAACCCCATTTCACCTCACCTCACCTCGTAAAAAATACTCAGTGAGGATTACACGTTCGACAACACCCGTGTACCTGTGGATAACATTTCTCATAAAACCAACAAATCTTAGCTCCCTCATTTTTCTGAAGCAGATTTTCCGAAAATTGAACCTTGTGGGAGAATTGCAGTCACGCGGCGCTTGGTCTACCTCCAGCTGTATAATTACGCAGAGATGTTGAATATCAGATTTCTACATTCACCTGATTGTATAACTATAATTTTAGTCATGGTGGCCATGATTAATGTATGACTAGTCTTATAATCAAATTTGATGAATTACAGTAAAATCTCTTGAAAACCACATTCGTGAAACCGGTTTAGTAAATTGTACAGCTCATTTTTGGACTTTTGTCTTTTATCTATTTACAGGTTGCGTTGACATTAATATATATATAAATAATATAATATATCTTTGGACTTTTGTCTCTTATCTATTTACAGGTTGCGTTGACATTAATATATATATACATACATACATACATACATACATACATACATACATACATACATACATACATACATATTTGGAGTTAGTTTCGAGGATTATTTGTCAACTTCGTCTTGAAAAACTATGTGTTTTTAAATAGACAAGAATATTTTATTCTTGAACTTTAGTGATATTTGTTACATTTATAACTACCTGTGACCCCTTTTTCGGACTATTCTAAGCTAGCGGACCTTAATACACGTGATAATCACGCGTTCCAAGAGAGCATCATTTTCAAAGCGCTCTTCTGTATGAGATTTTGTCCTTGATTTAGCCCCTTAATGCCGAGCGCCAGACAATGGAAATGCAGAATATAGTGTAAAATTCACACTGAAAAAGTAATATAAAGTGAACGAGTGAGTTTTATTGAATACCTTTACTTGGGTTTAATTATTCTCAAGATGTTCAGTTCACATCATAAAACACGGATACGCCTATTTTAATTTAATACCGAGCGTTTTATAAATATATAAATATCAGGCATCTGCTCTACAGCGGCTCAACATTAAATTTCAAAACACAGTTGGTTTATCTCTTAACTTTGTTTGTTTGTTTGTTGTTTAACGTCGCACTCAGCAATAGTCCAGCTATATGACAGCAGTCTGTAAATAATCGAGTCTGGACCCGACAATCCAGTGATTGACTTCATGAGGATCGATGTACGCATTTGGGACACGATGACATGCATCAACCAAGTCAGCGAGCCTGACCACCCGATCCCGTTAGTCGCCTCTCACGACAAGCATAGTCGCCTTTTACGGCAAGCATGGGTTGCTGAAGACCTATTCTACCCCGGATCTTCACGTGTCGAAAGCCCTAGGAGTACACCCCCCTAAGAGCCCCCTGCACAGTTCTTAACCATCGTTGCCGTTACAAACCAGAGCCTGCAAATGAATGATTCATTGCAAAAGATGCCCCACGGTAGACAGATAGTGTTTGGATGGGTGACGTTTGAATGTGTACAGCATCAATAAAGAAATACCTGATAACCTAATTCCTGTTACAATGTGCATAATGATAAAAAAAATACTGAATTGAAAAAATAATATATATGTATATTAGTCCTCATTCATAATTCCTTTAGCCATATGAATGAAGTTAACACCGAAAATAAGATAAACTATATTTAAAACGAAAATACTTTGATAGGACTTGCTTTATAAAATGTGTCGCAGCAGGTGGTATTTGGTAAAGAGATATCAAAAACTCTCAACACTGGTGGTCTTATTCAGTGCGTGGAGAGATGATAGATCACTGAGAGGAGCTTATTATCATCTAATGTGTGACCCCCACTCTCCTACCCAGTGTTCCATGCGGCCAGCTCAGTCACCACTGCACGAGCTGAAACGCGCTAAAACGCGTACCAACAGTGGAACCAGTTTACACTGCATCGGAGAGTGGATGACTCCAGCATCCATGTTGCTATGATGACGTCATATGGCATTGTTTCCTCGGTGTGTCTTGCAACACAATTTCAAAAATTACGTCATAGGGTATATATATATATATATATATATATATATATATATATATATATATATATATATATTACTCGAATACCTGTCAGATACCATTTATCTTACAACTAGTTGTTTTAAAACGTATCTTACGAGCGAAAGTGAGTTAGATACGCTTTGAAACAACGAGTTGTAAGATAAATGGCATCTGAGTCACCCTAAAATCGCACCTTTTTAGCATCGAATCGATTCATTTTTTTCTATTCTTATGATCGCAGTGGCGGATTAATACACAACACCACGGTCATGAGTGACGATGTATTGCTTACTGCTCATAAATTATGTGACCCTACACAAAAAGGTTTCCACCATATTTGTGGATTATGAAGGCGATGATATGATAATGAAAGCTAGATAAGATCAAAGAACACGCTGGATGCCGAGTTCAAAATTCTTACCTCAAAGAAATTACCAAATATGTACAACAATGTTTACTTCCGTATGACATCACTACCGGTGACGGACTTTTACAAAATGGCGTGTTCTCTGGCAACAGTACCCCCACCCACACAAAGACAAATATATAGCGTCCATTTTCAGTAAGTGCGTCAATCATGAGCAATTTTGTTTAGTCCTTTATTCCATCATGTACTCGTCTACATGGTCTACATTTTCTTTCCTTGTCCCGAAGTAAACATGAACATGGCGAACCAGTTTGCTTTCACTTAGTTATGTACTGTTCCGCTTTTACTATCCGACATCACTGGTCGCCAACACATTGCTACGTTTCACGCCTTCACGAAGTTCTACTCAAGTCCGATGCAGTATGTAAGTGAGGTGAGGTGAGGTGAGGTGAAATGGGTTTAACGTCGGGTGCAAGATTATTGCACTTATATAGCGACGTGCATGTACGTGTGTGTGTTTGTGTGGCTGCTTGTACTAGTCGGGACTGATGCCGATTTATAGTGCTAGCTCACTGAGATACCATGCCGCAGTTTAACATGAAGACCCCACTCAGACACAGTATACTGACTCCGAGCCGACCAGTCCTTGTTTTACTCCCTTAATGCCGAGCGCCAGACATCTTTTAACGTCTTTTGGTATGACGCGGTCGGGGATCGAACCCCGGACCTTCCGCTCTCCGGGCGGACGCTCTACCACTAGACCACGGAGGCGGTCCAGTTTGTAAGTAGTAGACGCCATGTTGTTTTAACCTCCATAAATCTTAAAAATTGACATAGTCCTGGAGATGTTTGGTTCTATTCAAAGGTAACTGGTTTGAGAACAAGGGGTATAAACAAAATCAACGGTATTCTTTCATCTTTAATTCAGACGGAGATTGTGGATGTCGGAGGAAAATACAATCAGCGTATGTTGGACACTACACACAGTGAAAAAAATGGCTATGATTTCACGGCTAGTTTTTTAGGTACCGTTGTCCGAGTTATATGAAGGAGTGCCTGCTCTATCTACAAGACAGATTGGTGACACGACAATACTCTCACCAAGACACACCCGCGTGACCTTTCTCCCGAGATAACAGTACACAGGCATTCTGTTACTTTTTTTGTCGTCGGGACAGGCCTAATGGTTTCGGATAAATAACGCACTTACCTGCTATTGGGGTAAAATCCACAGCAAGTAACATACAAATACAATTACTTTAATATACTTTTCATAGGGATGTTTTTTTTATCTTCATATCCGATTATTCTATTATAGTTGAGTAATATTTGTTTCACACATTCGGAATAATGACGATGGGTTGGTTCTTGTTTGACACGTAAATGCCACGTTTCGCACGTGAACGCATGATTTGCACATGCATCTCGTGTCACTTCATCTTGCCCATTGACCTGTGTACTGTTCTCCGTGGTGGTATTCCCATCAACTGAATAATGTGTTTCTTTTGACTTACAGTCAAGCTTTGTATTCAAGGTTTCGTCATCAAAGGCCTGGTCAAGTACAGTCAAGCTTTGTATTCAAGGTTTCGTCATCAAAGGCCTGGTCAAGTACAGTCAAGCTTTGTATTCAAGGTCTCGTCATCCAAGGCCTGGTCAAGTCTTTGCAGGACTTCAGTTGTAGATATTCAGCGGAATTTACGTTGCTTGTCAACATAATGCATGACACTTTCCCATTCTATGTTCTTTAGAGGAGGTTTTCACACCTCCTTGCTCACTGGCACGAACTTTGATGCCAGTGCAGGGAACCGAAGGGGTGAGGTGGTTTTCTTTCCTTCTTGTTGTTTGTTTTTTGTTTTTTTAGGAGACCCTCTTTTCACATCCGATGACAATTAACTACTAGTCTGTCATACCGACCCTGACACAAATATTCCCAATAAAGCCCATGCAAATCTATAATATTTGGCAAGAAAAGATTACTGCAACAAATTTAAGAAAGTCTCTTACCTCCTTTTTATGACATTTCATAACTTTAATTTAACAACTGATTATTTCTGTAAAATATGTTAGTTTAAAACTTTGTAGGCGCATTCCGAATTGCGGCGCTTTAGACGATTGGGTCATCCCTGTCCACTTGGCTTTTCAAACTTTTGAGAGCGTGTTTAATATTTTGGGCGAATGAGAACGTGACCGTGAATGAGTGAGTCAGCAATATTCCAGCAATATCACGGCGGCTTGGGGGTAATCCAGTCGTGGCCAGACAAACCGGGGACTCAAAACATAAGCAACGATCAACGCCATCGAGGTGCAATGAATCACGCACCCAAAGATTTTGTAACATCAATGCGCGATCATCATGTGCGATCATTTTAGTACAGTCTTTGTGTGGAGGCGTGTTGATAAAATACTTACGGTTCCAGGCGCCTTATCTCCCGATCAACGCCTTGATAAAGTCAGCAGGACCTTCCCAGTTGTCGATCTGAAAGACAAGAAGTCGGGTCTTCGTGGCTGCTTCTGAGGCTTAGCTCTGTTGAGATAATAGTTTTACATCCTCGGGTCGTGTTCGAATCCCTGACCATGAATGTGGTCCTACTGTTGTGTCTCTGTGCTGTGACTGTTGTGTCTGAGAAGTGTTACACTGGGTATGGCTGTTTCCATACCTTCGGCTCTTTCAAGGCTTTGCCCCAAGAACCGGATGTGATAAAGACAGCCTTTGAATTGTTCAGTAAGCATGGGAATTCTGTCCTCCTGGCCACGGACAGCTCCCACTGGAGAAGCTTGTTGAGTGCTGGACATTTCAGTGCAAGCAAGGAGACGAAGTTCATCATCCATGGATTCAGCAACAGTGGTCACACGTCGTGGGTGACTGAGATGAAGAATGATCTGCTGCAGAAGGTGAGTTTTCAGCACTAGTCCTCCACTGTTGTCTTTCTTTGTTTGTTTTGTTGTTTAACGCTGCACTCAGCAATATTCCAGCTATATTACGGCGGTCCTCCACTGTTGGCGTTCATTCCAGCATTATGGACTTTTGGCAATATTCGATAAGTGGGGGTCCTTAGAAAGTTCCCCGCAGTATTCCGACGGGGAACACAAGAAGTGGGTTTTGAAAATTGGAATAGAACCCGGACCTTTGGTGTGACGAGTGAACGCTTTCACATCAAGGCTGCACTCAGTATGACCTGTTCGTCATATACCAAAGGTTTGATTTTCAACTAGGACATGAAAATAAACACCGAGCTACGAGACGGACAGATTATTCTATTTTCCAAGTTTAGAGGGTGATTTAACAATAACAATATTTTCAAGTAAATTTCGTAGATGAAAACAAACCCGTGAAGATCATGGGTAGAACAGATCTTTAGCAACCCATGCTTGCCGGAAACGTTGACCATGCTTGTCGAAAGAGGCGACTAACGCGATCGGGTGGTCAGGCTGCCTGAATTGGTTGATGCATGTCATCGTATCCCAATTCCGTGGATCGATGCTCATGATGGCAACCACTGGATTGTCTGGTCCAGACTCGATTATTTACAGACCGCCGTCATATAGACGTAATACTGTTGAGTTTGGCGTTAAAAAACGGACAAACAAACAAACAAGATGAAAACTTTTCATGTTGCGCTGCGACATAAAAATAAAGTATATTTTGTTTTACTCTTACGGTGACATAGGACGGTTTTATTGTCTTTGATAGAGTTAATATTGGTGGTTCGTTTTCTTGGGTAACCGAAAAGTTTTAACGTGCAAGTCATGAAGTTTCATGTCCAAGTTAATGACGCATTCACAACTCACAAAACTATTATCACGCTAAGACCTTGACGCCTGGCCTTTATAACATCGTCAGGACCTTGACACTTGACCCTTATAACAACGTCAGGACCTTGACACTTGACCCTTATAACAACGTCAGGACCTTGACACTTGACCCTTATAACAACGTCAGGACCTTGACACTTGACCCTTATAACAACGTCAGGACCTTGACACTTGACCCTTATAACAACGTCAGGACCTTGCACTTGACCCTTATAACAACGTCAGGACCTTGACCCTTGACCCTTATAACAACGTCAAGACCTTGACACTTAACCCTTTTAACAACGTCGGGACCTTGACACTTGACCCTTATAACAACGTCAGGACCTTGACACTTGACCCTTATAACAACGTCGGGACCTTGACACTTGACCTTTATAACAACGTCAAGACCTTGACACTGGACCCTTATAACAACGTCAGGACCTTGCACTTGACCCTTATAACAACGTCAAGACCTTGACACTTGACCCTTATAACAACGTCAAGACCTTGACACTTGACCCTTATAACAACGTCGGGACCTTGACACTTGACCCTTATAACAACGTCAGGACCTTGCACTTGACCCTTATAACAACGTCAGGACCTTGCACTTGACCCTTATAACAACGTCAGGACCTTGACACTTGACCCTTATAACAACGTCAGGACCTTGACACTTGACCCTTATAACAACGTCAGGACCTTGCACTTGACCCTTTTAACAACGTCAGGACCTTGACACTTGACCCTTATAACAATGTCAGGACCTTGACACTAGACCCTTATAACAACGTCAAGACCTTGACACTGGACCCTTATAACAACGTCAAGACCTTGACACTTGACCCTTATAACAACGTTCTCACTTTCTGCCAAGTGTTCTAGGCCCCAAAAGCCTGTGGGACATCCCTGCAAAGTTGTTGACCGGACTCGTCGATCCAGAGGTGGGGTAGTATGTGTGTGAGTGGGTGCGCACCCATGCCCTTTTTTAAGCATGTTATTGTACCATATCAACACCGTATGAAGAAACATTTAACTAAACCACTAAGTAAGCTAATAACAATTATTTGACCTGAAGTCTTTGATAGGCAGTCGAAAGTTGGAAGAACATGAATACATGACACTTTTTATTGATGACAACCTCTTATTCTGTGTCACGACCTTTCAGAGCTACTTCGTCAGATGAAGAATGAAGGAACAAATAAGTACTTCTGGAACGTCGTGACAATCAATTAAAGAAGTTGTTATCCATACAAAGTGTCGTTGTATTAATAACTTGACTATTATGGGCTAAAAAGCTCAAATTTTATCACGAATTATCCACTCAAAGTGTTTATATCTGGCAAGGAAAGCATCGAAGTAAATATCTGATTTTAATGAAATTGTTGGGTTTTTTATTTCCTGGATGGAAACATGTCAAGCGACATCTTTAGCCTAGTGGTTAAAACGTTCGCTCGTCACGCCGAAGACCCGGGTTCGATTCCCGACATGGGTACAATGTGTGAAGCCCATTTCTGGTGACCCCCGCCGTGATATTGCTGGAATATTGCTAAAAGCGGCGTAAAACCATACTCACTCACTCACTACCCCTTGGGGATTCCGGGATAGGTCGCCAGTACCCTGTGCTGGTCGTTAGAGGCGACCAAGTGGACAGGTTCGGTGGATTGGCAAGTTGCGTGTCATCATACCACTACGGCGTCCTCACACTATCAATCACTGCATTGTTTGGGCCAAAGTCGATTATTTACAGGTCGTCGTCACATAGCTAGAATATTTGCTGAGTGCGTCGTTAAACAACACACAGACACACTGAATCAAAGAAACCAATCATTCTGGTTGTTTCCAGGGTGACTTCAACGTGATCGTGGTGGACTGGGGCAAGGGCTCCTCATTCCCCTACACTCAAGCCACAGCCAACACCTTCCTGGTGGCCGCCGAGGTGGCCAAGTTCGTCAAGTATCTGCACTCATCGCTCCACGTGGACCTGAAGAAAGTTCATCTGATTGGCCACAGTCTTGGGGCGCAGATATGCGGTAATGTTGGTGCCGCAGTCAGAGGCATCAGAAGGATTTCAGGTACCTTGTCACCATATTGCATGTTTGTTTGTTTGTTGTTTGTTTTTTAAAGCCGCACTCAGCAATATTCCAGCTAAATGGCGTCTGCAAATAATCTTGTCTGGACCAGACAATCCATTGATCGATATCATGAGCATCCATCCACGCCATTGGGATACGATGACATGCATCAACCAAGTCAGTTAGCCTGACCACCCGATCCCGTTAGGCGCCTCTCATGACAAGCATAGTCGCTTTGGATCTTAATATTATGACAGGGATCGTGGTGCTCTGCATTCGACAACACTCGTGTCATTCCGTGACAAGATAATTGGCGACTCGTTCTCTTGTAGCCTGTTTACCAACTTAATTCGCGCAAACGGGCGAAGCAGACAAAAATAGCCTACATTTTTTTCACATCAGCTTTTGCTTTGCGATAAGGGCTGACCACTCAATATCCTAGGCGTGTGGGTGCGTATGCGTTAGCATGTGAGTATGTGTGTCCGCGTGTGAGAGGTGGGGGGATAGGGTGGGTGGGAAGGGTTGCCTCTGAAAGGGGGGACGGGGAAGGCAAAAAAAGTTTCTTTGCATCAAGAAAACATATTTGAGCCAAAATCAAAACAAAACATCCCAGGTCCCATGCTGATAAAGACCCACAGCCAGCGGATCCTGTCAGGGCTAAGGGGCACAACTCTACACAGAGTTTGGGATAATTAATTGATATATTACTTTCAGGTCTGGATCCTGCCGAACCCTACTTCATCAACTTCCCTGACTCCAATCGCCTCGACAAGTCGGATGCCTCCTTCGTCGATGTTATCCACACCGACGGGGAGAAGTTTAGCGGCATCGCAGGTACGAAATAAGCTGGAAGTAGTCTGTTTCCAACACACAAAATACCATGGTAACATGCAAGGAATTAATTATTCATTGAACAATGTTAGTTTATGTTTAACTCTGCAGATAGTTTGGTACGTTGAAGCTAAGGGGACTTCCAAGATGGTGAGTGAGTATAGTTTCACGCCGCTTTTAGCAATATTCCAGCAATATCACGGCTTGACGAGCGAACGCTTTAACCACTAGGCGACCAAGCCGACCCCTTTCACAATACGACATGCAGTAAGGCGTCTGTGTCTGTCTCGACCCGTGAAGATCTGGGGTAGAAAAGGTCTTCAGCAAACCATGCTTGCCGTAAACGGCGACTATGCTTGTCGTAAAAGGCGACTAACGGGATCGGTTGGTCAGGCTCGCTGACGTGGTTGATGCATGTCATCGATCCCAATTGCATAGATCGATGCTCATGATGTCAATCACTGGATTGTCTGGTCCAGACTCGATTATTTACAGATCGCCGTCATATAGCTGGAATATTGCTGAGTGTGGCGTTAAACAACAAACAAACAATGCAGAAACTCCAGATGATCCGAGAAAATGTTTCACTATATTTGAAGAATACTATAATAAATAGAAACATAAATTAAATGTAGATAAGACATTCTTTGGGTCAGGTATTGTGACAAAGGTAGATAAGAGACACGTTGTACTATTATGTGGACAGCCGTCAAGTAAGGCATGCAATGATCTTTTTAAGATATCTTGTGAAAGAATATGTTTATCTTGGTGTCTTGTTTACAAACACCGGAAGATCTTGTACATCCCAGACTGATCAGACAACGAAGGCTATAAATGCGCACTGTTTAGTAAACATAGACTGTCAGAAATACCTATCTTTTGGCGGATACCACCACCCCCTCCCCTTTTTTTTGTTTTATATATGATGACATCTTGCCTACCATGATAACATGTTGATTTGTTTGTTATTGTGTTAAATTATAATTAATGATGGTTTTCAATCAGTGTTTGTGGTTTTGGGGTATGCACTTAGGTGAACCAAACTCACTCACTCTTTCATTCATTCATTTACGAGTCCCACCGGTCGACATGCCTCAATGACGGGTCACATAATGAGGAGACACTATATATTGTCACTCTTTTCCCCCTACTGATGTAATACATTTTTATGTAAAAATTCAACCAATCTTAATCAATTGACTTATGTCGTGTTGTCTCCAGGATATGGCATGATGAAGGCATGCGGGGATATCGACTTCTATCCTAACGGGGGCGAGGACCAGCCCGGGTGCTCTGACAACCCCCTCGGCAGCCTGCTCGGCGGCATATTCGGAGGCCACGCCGGTCGTAAGTTGTGAGCTGATCGCGAGCAATAGAGAAAACAGGTTCCGCACATCCGCACACCTCGTCCCTTTCCGTACTTTTTGAAGTGTCAGAAACATGTCAGTATTCAACTCACAGTTTCCAATTACTAATCTGACGAAGGCAATCCACTTCTTTTGGGTTTTTTTCTTCTTTTTTTGTTTAAAGTCGCAAAATCAGCAATATTCCAACGACATTATATGACGCCAGCCTCTAAATCATGGAATCTGAACTAGACAAACCAGTGATTGATATTGTGAACAACAAACCACGCCGTCCGGGTTCGAAGACATCCTACCAACCAAATCGCCGAGCATGACCCACCCGATCAATTTGGTCGCCTCTAAGGTTTCTTGTTTGACGCCGCACTCAGCAATATTCCAGCAAAATGACGGCTGTAAATGTAAATTATCGAGTCCGGACCAGAAAATCCATTGATCGATATCATGAGCATCCATCGACGCAAATGGTATACGATGACATGCATCTACCAAGTCAGCGAGCCTCACCAACCGATTCCTTTAGTCGCCTCTTATGACTATCCACTAGGCTTTTTATCCTTTTTAAGTCTTGTTTCCACCCTTGCCACATCAAGCCCACTTTTCTGTGCTACATATGATTGGACTATGTCACATATCGATAGTCCAATCAGAGAACGTTTCACAAAATCAACATCCACGACTGGTGCACCTTCGTCTGAAAGTGATTTACCGCTGCCTGTCTTTGTTGACAATTCTTTTTCATCCCTATTTTTTTAATCAGGGATAAAATCGCGAATGATTTCGTTACCTGATCGACTAGATCGTCGCCTATGGTAGTCGCCATCTTTGTGTGAAGCTATACGAGATACGAACAGCGATCTGATTGGATATCACGTTTTCATTACAAGGGGCACAACTCGTGATCTACGCGAGGTGGCGCCAGGGTTTTGAGCCATGGCCTTGATGTGGCAAGGGTAGAAACTAGGCTTTGATATAGGCTAGTGGACACGCTAGCCTCGGGAAGATGGTTATGACAAGCATAGTCGCCTTTTACAGCACGCATGGGTTGCTGAAGACCTATTGTACCCTGGATCTTCACGGGTAGTTCGCCTCTAGGACTGCCATAGGATTCCATGGATATCCTCTAACCCGGAACTGGTGCATTATGCCATGGACATGTTTTACCCCATGTTACCGTGGTCGCCTCTGTGGTCTAGTGGCAGAGCGTCCGCCGGAAGGTCCGGGGTCATATCCCCGGCCGCGTCAAGACGTTATAAGAAGGTACTTGTTGTTGCCCCGCCTGGCGCACGGCATTAAGGTGCTAAACCAAGGACCGGTCGGCCCGGAGTCAGTATACTATGTCCGAGTGGGGTAAGCATGTTAAACAGCGGCATGGTGTCTCAGTGGGCTAGAACTATAAATCTTGGCCCAGATTCGAACATACTTAATGCCAGTCATATTTTATATGTATACCGAGAAGAATTTACTGCTATTTACACAGAATACGTACTACGAGTTATTTTGTGCTGTATCACGCACGCATACACACCAGTCAATTCGTTGACCCCAACATAAACTCCTGTCTTGCATGTAAGAAATATGTGAAATTAACTGACACAATTTGGTATTTTTTCACCCTACCACCCACGACTCCACACACTTTCTCGTCTTCAGCAACCCCTGCTTGCCGTAAAAGGCGAGTATGCTTGTCGCTAGAGACGATTAACGGGATCGAGTGGTCAGGCTCGCTGACCTTGTTGATGCATGTCATCGTATCCCAATTGCGTGGATCTGGATTGTCTGGTCCAAACGCGATTATTTATAGACCGCCGTCATTTTGCTGGAATATTGCTGAGTGCGGCGTTAAACAACAAACAAACAAACAAACACACAGTTACAGTTCATTTATTCCCATTTATTCTCGTTTTCTCTCACAGAGGCAACGAAGTCCGTTTCATGCAGTCACGGACGAGCTATTAAATACTTCATCGAGAGCCTCAAGTCCAGCACGTGCAAGTTCACAGGTCACACGTGCAGGGACTGGGCTTCATACGAGACGGGCACCTGTCATGGCTGCCCTTCCGGCGGATGTCCGGTGATGGGTTATGACGCTGATCAAACGTCAGACAGGGGCTCATTCTACCTCAGCACGGGACAAACCGATCCATTCTGTGGTATGTGTTGTTCAAAATAGCTAATTCTGTGGTATATGTTGTGCCAAAAAAATTATGCTTTATTTCACTGAAAGTGAACGTTGAGTAAGGATTCCAGATCGAAAACACCGGTACGGGTTTTTAAGAACAAGATAGCGACCTCTCAAGACCACAAACGGTTTTGGTTGACGGGTAAGTTGGTTGGTTGGTTTGTTGTTTGACGCCGCACTCAGCAATATTCCAGCTATATGACGGCGGCCTGTAAATAATCGAGTCCGGACCAGACAATCCAGTGATTGATAACATGAGCATAGATCCACGCAATTGAGATCGATGACAAGTCAGCGAGCCTGATCACCCGATCCCGTTAGTCGCCTCTTGACGGCTAAGTGTATGGTTTGATGGAGTATAGGACACTGCTTCTACTCATTCGTTCACACTTAAGAATTGGCAAGATCGCATTCAGCATTTATATAAGGGAAGAGTCCAAATTATCACAACCCTCTCTCGTGTTATGTTACTGCCTACAACATATTACATTGTTTTAAAATGGTTGGTTGGTTGATTGGTTGATTAACGCCGCACTCAGCAATATTCCAGCAATATAACGACGGCCTGTAGGAAAAATAATCGAGACTGGACCAGACAATCGAGTGATTTATGTCATGAGCATCCACGTCATTGGGATAAGATGACCCGATCGTCGTCTCTTACGACAAGCATAGTCGCCTTTTACGGCAAGCATGGGTTGCTGAAGACCTATTCGACCCCCGACCACCACGGGTCGGTTTTGAGGAGTGTGTGTGTGTGTGGGGGGGGGGGGGGGGGTCATTTTACATGAATACTTCTATACATTAAACATTGCTTTATTAGTCAATCACATCCAGTAAAATCACTTTTGCAATTTTTTTGTTTGAAAGGCCTACTAATATTCGCTTATTTTCAGCTTTGGCTACACATCATAAAATATATTTCATAACTACAGTAACTCCTTTATTACTAAGCTCCAAATGCGCGTATCGCCGATATTGCTGATATGTACGTCATAAAGCTGAAATATTGCTGAGTGCGATGTTAAACAACAAACAAACATATACTGTATTTGATCGAAACATTCGTGACCAACTCGTGTTATTACGGGACAAGCCGAACCTTGCAGGTTGCGGAAAGGGGCGAGTGGTGACGAATGTGATCGAAAATGTTCTTTAGGATTGTCGATGGGAATTGAAAACCGGTTCGTCTATTAACGTCGTGGATATCTATGTTCTTCTTTAAGTCTTCGAACGTTTTAAGTACTGATTCAGACATTGTATGTATTGTTAAGATATTTACACGAGTTAAATTCTTATCCCCAGGGCACGAGTTTTTCGTGGAGATTGACCTTGCCTCTGTCGACGAGAACGCTTTCGGGCGTCTGTACGTGACATTAACGGGGTCAAAGGGCACAAGTGCAGAGGTGGAGTTCACGAGGTAAAGATTGTTGTTGGAGTTTATGTTTTTGTCATGTTTACAAGATTAAGTTTTATGTCATCCAGTTGTTGACATCCATGATGAACAAATATCATACATGTACATGCCACCTGTGATCTCGATAAGTATTACTTTCCTCTAGGAGTTGAGCAAATGGTATGTCTGTGACAGGACCGTAGTAGTAGTAGTAGTAGTAGTAGTAGTAGTAGTACCGTAGTAGTAGTAGTAGTAGTAGTAGTAGTAATAGTAGTAGTAGTAGTAGTAGTAGTGGCAGTAGTGGTAGTTAGGGCTGGGACGAGTCCAAATTTACTGCCCGGGTACCCACCCCCTTATTACCCGACCCAACCCGGGTACCCGCTCGAGGTCTCAAGAGATAGGTCCAAATGTCCGATTGGGAATGGTTTGACCGTAGCCCTGGCACAATATATTTAGCTGCTCGTATAAAACAATCCGGTCATGCACACAGTGAAGATGTCTAAAGTTTTATCTTTATTCAAACATATAAAGAAGGAATGTGTGCAGTCAGAAAAAAATGTGAACATAAGTCACTCATAGTGTAACCATAGACTTGCCATTAAACAATATATCACGTGACTAACCACGGGTCCAGGTTGTCCAGTGGGTACCCGGGTCCTACTCAGTACCCACCCGACCCGAATACCCGAGTACCCGTCCCAGCCCTAGTAGTAGTAGTAGTAGTAGTAGTAGTAGTAGTAGTAGTAGTAGCTGTAGTAGTAGTTCTTTCAATTGTAATGTTGCGATGGATGACATTGATATAATGGGAACGTTTTTGTCTTTATCCATTTTTGTTTTAACTTCTGGTTTGTGGGTACTTGGATGAAATATTGCAACGAATGCCTGCCAGTCTTACGTTCTGTTATGTGATAAGATACTACTTGTTTCAGGGAAAACCGCCATTACCACAAATCCGACCACGAGAAACACATGATCGCCATTCATAAGGACATAGGATCTGTGTCGAGTGTGAAGGTCAAGTTTGACAAGGGGGATGGACTGGCGGGGTCAGGGACGGACACTGAAGTCATCGTCAGCCGCGTCTTCGTCAGGGACGCAAACACGTCTAACCAGTAAGTCAACATGCAGTGGCGAGCTCCAGTTGCGTAGATCGATGCTCGTAATGTCAATCACTGGATTGTCTGGTCCAGACTCGATTATTTACAGACCGCCGTCATATAGCTGGAATATTGCTGAGTGCGGCGTTAAACAACAAACAAACATACATACAACATCGTACTGGTAAACACACAGGTCTGAAGGATGCACAGGATGCACAAGATCCATATTTTGTTTCATAATTCGGGAGACAGTTCAATATATTTTTACAACTTGAGGTGAGGTCAGGTGAAATTGGGTTTAACGCCGCGTCTAAGATTATTGCACTTATATAGCGACGTGCATGCACGTGTTTGTGTGTGGCTGCTTGTACTAGTCCGGACTGATGCCGATTTATAGTGCTAGCCCACTGAGATATCATGCCGCAGTTTAACATGAAGACCCCACTCAGACACAGTATACTGACTCCGAGCCGACCAGTCCTTGTTTTAGCCCCTTAATGCCGAGCGCCAGACAGGGTAACAAGTACCATCTTTTAACGTCTTTTGGTATGACGCGGCCGGGGATCCAACCCCGGACCTTCCGCTCTCCGGGCGGACGCTCTACCACTAGACCACGGAGGCGGTCTTTTACAGGTTGAGTTTCAGCCATAAAGAAATGGGTTGGAATTGGTCTTCACCTACCCTACCTGTCTTGACTCATATGTTTTGGATGGCCCAAGGTCTTTTTGTGAGCTAGTTTTCACGATCTTTCGAAGATCCGGGTTCATGAAGCATCACTGGATTGTCTGGTCCAGACTCGATAATTTACAGACTGCTGTCATATAGCTGAAATATTGCTAAGTGGGGCGTTAAACAACAAACAAACTTCGGAGACAAGACACGCCGGCAGCATACCTAGCAGTCACGTGATTGCTTCGTACTGTTATAGGCTGTTATATACTGTCATCTCATGAGGTCACGGATGGCCCAGTCGGCCCTTTGGCACGCTAGAAACCTATGTTTGTGGGTTCGAATCCTTCTGTAGGTTTATCAGCGCCATACCCGTGCTCCTGGGTTTAACCTAAGTGGTTAACGTTTGAGACCTGCATCACTTCTGGCATCCTTCCCACATCCAGCTGACACACCGTCATGTAACTGGAACACTGTTCAAAGCCGCGTTAAACCAAATTCACTCACTCACTATATCTAAGTAGGGCTGAGGTGAGGTGAAACTTTGGTTAAACGTTTCGTTCAAAATGATTGCACTTATATAGCGACGTATGGAGGTTTGATACTAAAAATGACAAAATGATCTTAATCAGAAATACAGATCCTGGGTTCTAAACATGCTAGAATACTTATATAATTTGTTATGATGGGCAGTGGGGTGGCCTAGTTGTTAATGCGTTCACTCGTAACGCCATAGACCCGGGTTCGATTCCCCACATGGGTACAATGTGTGAAGCCCATTTCTGGTGTCCGCCGCCGTGATATTGCTGGAATATTGCTGAAAGAAACTAAAACCACACTCACTCTAATGTATATTGATGTAACGCAGGCACAGGTCAGGGTCAGTCGAGCAGTGAGGAAGTAGGTGTCGTAATGACAGCGTTATCGGCTTGAAGTAATCCATACGTCCACCCAACGTCCACAGAAAGCAGTAAATCACGATGTGCTTCAGGCCCCAATCAAGGTGACCGTAGCACCCGCTTCAGGCCCCAATCAAAGTGACCGTAGCACCATGACAATTGGATAACCGTGTCAATAGACTGACTCCATATATGATCCCCCGGGGGGCGTTACTAGGACAACCAGGCCCATTCATCAGCTATTTGACCGGGATTAGTCTCACTTGTGAACTGGAACCCCTCAGAAAGAAATCAAACATCGTCTTAAATGGAGACTCTGAAATAATCCGAACATCTTCAAACAAAATCTACACTACTTGGGCTAGTCTAGATTCTTGAGTATCCGAAGGGATTATCCGGGGTCCATTTACGCCGTTTTTAGCAAAATTCCAGCAATATCACTGCGGTGTGTGTGTGTGTGGGGGGGGGGGGTCACCAGAGATTTGCTTCACACACTGTACCCATCTGGAGAATCAAAGAGGCGTGACGAGTGAACGAGCTTTAACCACAAGACTTCCTCACCATCCTTATATATTGAGACGATTGAGGAAGACCAAAATAATTTTGTTATTTGTCTTGTTAAATCATTATATTGTTCCGAATCGAAGCCGTGGTCAGGTTCTGTGCTTTGAAAATATTGCGTGTCCTCGTGCCTCGACAGGAATGGATCGATGCTCATGCCTTCACTCTCTGGTTTTCCTGGTCCAGACTCGAGTATTTATAAGTATTGCCGACTAAGGCTCCTGAGATCGGACGGCTGGGATCCCCTGACCGCGTCATACCGAAAGACGTTAAATAATGGTACTTGTTGTTACCCTGCTTAGCGCTCGGCGTTCAGGGCATAAAACAAGGACTGGTCGGCTCGGAGACAGTACATTGTGTGCATCACTATAAAACCGGTATAAGTTCGGAATAACACGCACACGCACACGCACACGCACGCACGCACACGCACACACACACGTTGTTGTTATGAGAGGACACCCACGTGGATGCACGTCGCTATGACAGTAAGCGACGTTTACCTATTCACGCCCGGGTTACCTTATGCAACTTCACCTTGTGTATCGACCTTTGTGTTTGATTTAAAATTAACACTGTTTTTCTTTTCCAGGGTGAAATTTTGTGGACATAACGCTCATATTCTGGACGACAAATCCATAAGTCTGACGTCACACAGTGGGTGTTGACGACACTTGGTACTGGCTAATGTAGGGTGATGTTGATTGGGGTCAATAAATTAGACTCAATATTTGGTATATAGTTTATTTGGAGATGCAGTCAAATCCTTCGAAGATTTAAAGTGATTGACTTTTTTAGGTTTAACTACCTTTGAAGTTTCCGTAACATCACTGCGTCACAGCTTGAGGCTTGTTTGTGTGTTGTTTAATTGTTTGTTTAACGCGGCACTTGGCAATATTCCAGCTACGTGACGACAGTTTGTGCATAAACAAATCTGGGCCAAACAATCAAGTGATTGATATCATGAGCATCTATGACAGCCTAAGAACAACAAGTCTCGATTTATATGTCGAAACAGATTTCATTGGGCGTAAAAGGCAATATATCGGAGACAGGTATGTGCATGGGCCACTGAAAAACAGGGATGGATGTATGAGCATTATTAAACAAATAAGTAAATTCATTATGCGCTTCAGGGCTGCTGAAGACCTATTCTCTACCCTGAACTTCTCGGGTATCAACAGAATGTAGTGGGTCAAGGGATGTATCATATTAGAGTGGCTTTACAATACACTTATCACACCTCCATGTCATACATAAGACAAAACCACAATCTCACCTTACATTCAAATACTAGCTTCTGATTGGTTAAGGAACGGACAAGAATTGTCCATCTTGCCTGCTCATGTACCCGCCTGAAAAATCAATCGGAACACACCATAGGTAACTTGCTTATCTCGCACACGTATTCTTGAGCTGAATGCATTGTCCGATTGCATTGGGTAAAGGGAAGTAACTCGATTCGTGTGTGTCGTCTGCTAGCTGTCAAAATGGCTGAGTCAAAGCATTTTACTCAGAGAAACTGTATCAGAAAAAATGTCGGTGAGGTAAATTCGTTGTCACTCGATCCCTCGGGCCATATGGTGTGATGTACCCTGTGTGTGAGCCTGTGTAAGGCTCTGGGTACATGGGCCCGATTCTTTCATGTTTCTAAAGTTAACCTGTCATGGTATGACAGATTAACTATAGTGAGTGGGAGAGTGAGTTAAAATTTAACGTCGCATCGGCATTATTTCAGCCATATAACGACGGGACCAAGTTAATATATTTACAATTTAGTTATTAATGCAATTTTCTTGTTTAAAAACAAGTTGTGAAACATATGTGAGCAAAGCAAAATTATATATACAGTTTTAAAACACGGGCTATTGGCCACCAGTAACCAAAGCTAGGCCACCTGACTGAGGATCATGGGGACTTACAGTACTTCTGCTTCCTGCATTATACCCAGCAGGATTTAAGTCATCACTTTACCCACGGGTGGTTGTGAACAATACTAGCCAATATTTAAAAAAACTCAGCAATGAGTTGGCTTAAAAACTCTAGTTGATGATAGTTACATCGATTATGATAGGATTACGTGTCACACAGGGGGACAATTATTTTACGATACTTTAACCCCCTGGACAGAGCCTTCAATGATTTACTATAGAAATATAAAAGAATCTGATGACCCTTAACTTCTTTGAGTAGTATAAATATATGTCCATCAGTCCGATCCATTTTTTCCAAAGTTAAAAAAAGGTTGAAAACCTCCAGTTACACGAGCTTATTACTCACAGGAGACGCATACAAAACAACGCGCGTGTATATGATCTGTCACACAGGAAAGTGAATAGCGACACGCATACATACAACCAGATTAACAGACGTCGAACACCATACCACTACTTCCATATTAAAGGGCTGGTCGTCAACCACTTAGTACCATTGTCATCCCGACAAAAGCTAACCTACATTCATGAACACAGACACACAACCGGATTTAAATATTCAGTGACAGGTGAGGTGAGGTGAACTGGGGTTTGACGTCGCGTCCAAGATGATTGCACTTATATAGCAACGTGCATGTACGTGTGTGTGGCTGATTGTACTAGCCGGACTTATGCCGATTTATAGTGCTAGCCCACTGAGATACCATGCCGCAGTTTAGCATGAATACCCCACACAGACACAGTATACTGACTCCGAGCCGACCAGTCCTTGTTTTAGCCCCTTAATGAGCGCCAGACAGGGTAACAACAAGTACCACAAGTACCACAAGTACCATCTTTTAACATAATTTGGTATGACGCGGCCGGGGATCGAACCCTGGACTTTCCACTCCTCGGGCGCTTTACCACTAGACCACGAAGCGGTCTATTCAGTGACAGAAATCTGTGTATTTGTGAAGTGAAGAAAAACGAACTCAATCCATAGAACGCCGTTTTATTATCTAAACTATGCATGGCGTTATAACATGATATGACAGATATAATTTGTACATAAGATAATGCATACAACAAATGACTTCCTAATGACAGGAGACAAGCATGACACTGTATTGGTTCATGCAACATAGTTACGATACATATGAATATGATAACATATATAGTCCTATATCTACGACATATACACTTCTCCCTGAAGATGAAGCTGAAACATATAGAAGATCAACCCGTGTCGTGTGATTATTTTGTGAATTTCTTTATATTATATATAATATATGATGGTCAGATAACGTCCCCAGACAGCAAACAATGTGTAAAATGAGACCGATTTCAGGAACAAGATATACATATATATAGTTTTAGTTCTATATCTAGTTGTGTTTTGAACTGACATGTACACTGTATGTATATATATAGTTTTAGTTCTATATCTAGTTTTGTTTTGAACTGACATGTATACTGTGACGTATGCCAGCTAGTTGTCAAGGTTAATGGAGACACCGCTCCAGGCACTGGTGCCCATGCCACGTAGAGGTCAAGACGGTATTGGTTTGAAACAGTTTCTCTGTCTAATTCTGGTATTGATTAACTGTCGGATTGATCAACATCATAAAACGTTTGAAGATTTGAATCAAACTTGGTGAGAATGTCAGCTAGCCCGAGGCAAGTCCCACTTTAACACCTTAGGACTGATGGTTAGACAACGCCCTCAGACAGAAAACATTGTGTAATATGAGACAGCTTCATTTCAGGAACTTCAGATATATGGCATTAATTACATCACGAGTACCTGTCGCAACATTACCCAATGGAAACACTTCAGTGAGGTTGTTTAAAGGGACATTACGCTCCACGGCCAGGCGCCGATGTTTGAGGCAGTGTAAACATTGTCCCTGTGTTGTTAGCCCAATCATTAAATGGTTGTAATTAGACTAACCATTGACTGGTAGGTTGATACACATGGCAATAGGAACAACAGATATGCACATTGTCAATTAAAGGACTTCAATATAAATTTCTGGGACTGTCGGTTGGCCGGAGCCTATACCCCCTTTAACGTCACAGATATATCCCATGCAGAGGATACGTGCTGTTTTGGCATGCGTACACTGTGGAATGTAACTACATCCTACCTGAGAGTAGACATTGAGAAGGAACGTTGATAGCGGCGTGGTAACAAACAACTCGTATTGCCCAATTCTCGTATTTTCAGAGTATTCGTTTAGCGCCACTAGAAATGGTCATTTACACATCATACGCCGTTTCAGTGAGTGAGTGAGTATGGTTTTACGCCGCTTTTAGCAATATTCCAGCAATATCACGGCGGGGGACACCAGAAATGGGCTTCACACAATGTACCCATGTCGGGAATCGAACCCGGGTCTTCGACGTGACGAGCGAACGCTTTAACCACTAGGCTACCCGACCGCCCCTACGCCGTTTCAAAACTATTTCAGTTATATCACGGCGTGTCGGCTTAATAAAAGAGGAAGATCCCTGCTGTTGTGAAAGGGGGGCGAGGGGAGGGGGGCACGGGTGGCCCAGTCGTCTAAGGCGCTGCGATTCGTTCGCTGTGCAAAGTAGCGTCCCTTGGGCACGCCAGAAACCTATGATTGTGGGTTCGAATCCCGGTTCGCCCCGATTATGTTTCTAGGTTTGTCAGCACCATACCCGTGCTCGTGGGTTTCACCAAAGTGGTAAACGTCTGAGACCTGCATCACTTCAGGCTTTCCTCCTACATTAAGCTGACACGCCGTGATATAACTGGAATACTGTTAAAAAGGGCGTTAAAACCCAACTCACTCACTGTTGTAGACGTTGGCGAAACCAGCGGGCAGGTTGGTGGTGCTGACAAACCAAGGATCATAATCGGGGTGATTCTAGGATTCAAACCATGCGGATGCACAACACGATGCGGTGTCTTAGACCATTGGACCACCCTAGATCCTTTAATCAGATCTAGAAACTTTGATAGTGTGAAGACATGTAGCGTTCTTTCTTCTCTATCAGACAATCCACACGAATGACAATCCACACCACAATCGCAATCAGTTCCCGACCAGTAGATCCTTTTTACACTCCAACATCGTAGTCTATATTACAATCATTATTTCTGGTGGAGTATATCTTTTTGTAAACGATGAACGGTCAACGACGGATGTGACAAAAACTTTTGTCTGAGCTCACTGACAGTTGAAGTGAAGTTAGCACTTAATATGTCACTATATCTATAGATTCGTCACAACCGGATTTGACTACCTCCATCTCGAAATGTTTCCTGAAGTTGTCCAGCAAGACACAGTCCTTCGTAGCATCACTTCCCTCATCTCGAAACACTGATTCGTCTTATCTGGAAATGACTAATCTAACCCTGTTATCTCGAAATGTTCTCTCGAAGTTGTCCACTGTGACACAGCTCGCAATGTTATTCCCCTAGCTCAAAACTCGGATACTCCCTGTGCGCCCTTCGATATTTCCGTAGTTAACTATTCTTGTAAAACATATTGTAGGTCATCTTACTCCAGATAGTAAACGACAGGTGCTTGTGGGTAGGCTGTCTGTTGGCCGGGGTAGATTACTTGCTGTGGGTAGTACGGAGCGGCAGATGGGGGTGGGGCTTTAGACTTGGGCTTAGGTGGGGATAAGAGCCGTACAGCCATTCCATAACAAAAGCACGTGATCAGCACCAGCACGAAAGCAACCCAGGCAGCGATGTAGGACTCTTTGAATTCCATTTTGGTAGAATTCTTCAACTCTGTAGGCCATGATTGATAATACTGTTGCCTGTCCGCCATCGTGTCCCTTACATTTTCCCTCTCCACGTGGACAGAGCCGTGGAATAGAGCCAGACCCAGGGCAATGAGGAACGCGGAGAGGAAAGTCAGAACAGCCGCCACCCAGGCCTTGGAGTACATCTTCCCAACACAGAGACACAGCCCAATGATGTAGGCAATGACAAGGATCAACTCACCCACCAGGAACATCACCATGAACGCCGTATACAGCCCCAGCATCAGCTTATAGTCATCCGATGCGCCGTCCGGATTGTCGCTGAACAGCAACGAGAAGCAGTTCTTGTCCAAGACATCGGTTGCAGTGTCGAGGAACATTGTGTCGTTACCGGGGTAGCACTCCCTGAACATACCCCGCTGTCGGGTGTGGTAGTACCGTGCTTTGATCCCATCCATGGAGCCGAGCTGTGTCGCCGGGAGAAGTCGATTTCTCTCCACAGTGAATACGAGCCATCTGTCTGTTCCTATAACCGCAGCAATTATCACTATAGCCAACACGCCGATGATGTTGGCCACGGTGAGGCAGGCCTCGACTTTGTTACATCCACGGTTGTTCATGATGTCGATGTGGACGCTTCACACGTATAGGCAGTTGACACGCGGTATGTCTCCCAAGAACGTTCCCCGGCACCTCGTGTTAGCTACAAGTATTCAATCTGTATGTCACAAGTTCTTCGAACGAAATTAAACTTTGTTTCCCTGGACTCGAAAACCTCTCTCAGGGCGTGGACGCTGAAGCCTCCCACTACTTATGTCGGAACAGACCTCGGCCGTCTCACACAGTAGTTCGTCAACATAGCTGTGGTTGTCCATGCGAGAAGTACGTCTTTCTCCACCACTGACTACAGCTTGTCGGGTGTGGACGACAGTCGGGCCGTTGTGTTCTCCTTCACACTATTGTCCTCCCATTCACCTCCGCTGTGCTATCATATACCGACTTTATTCAAGAGGGAGAGTCTCAAATTGTTTATACGCCAATATAAGTTTACTCAGTCCGCTGTCTATCACATTAACCCTACTCGAATATGTCATTATGCAGTAAGCTAAAAAGAGAAGGAGAGAGACACAACCTTGTCGCACTCCTCGCCGCGATCGATTGGTTGATTGTGAATCGTGGGTTATGACACAGTCCCTCCCAGGTATGCTACCTGTTTGTCACGCATAGCTGCATCCACATTGCGGGATACTGACGTAGTAACCAGAGAAGATGATGGTGGCAGGACAATAGGAGAAACTCCCAGCGGGTCTAGCGGAACTGATTCGAATTCAGTTCAACCTACGACGAACAGCTTCAGAGTTTCAGATAACGTGCCACATAGCGTGTTTAAGACGTCCTATATATGTCGACACCTTTATAAATTAAAAATATCTTTGCAATGGTTAGAGTTACGTAACAAAACTATGTTGGTATGAATTGATAACCAGATGTTTATATCTGAGTGAGTGAGTGAGTGAGTGAGTGAGTGAGTGAGTGAGTGAGTGAGCGAGTGGGTTGGTGGGTGGGTTAGTATGAGTGAGTGAATGAGTGACACAGACAGACCAAAGATCATAATCGAGGCGAATCTGGGATTCAAACAATGGACCACCGGATCCTGACACGCCAAAGTGGCGGCCATTCTAATCTACACATTGATATGAAGTGTGTACTACATTACTGTTACCCAGAAATAAACAATATATTGTCAATAGTCCGTCAACGGAGTGCAAAGTATGACCGAATCAATCACAGCATCCAGAATCTGATAGAGTGAGTGAGTTGGGTTTTAACGCCGATTTGAACAGTATTCCAGTTATGACACGGCGTGTCACCTTAATATGGGTAAAACCCATGTGCACGGGTATGGTGCTGACAAACCTAGAAACATAATCGGGGCAAACCGGGATTCGAACCCACAACCATAAGTTTCTGGCGCGCCCAAGGGACGCAACTCTGACCAGCGAATTGCGGCGCCTTAGAGGACTGGGCCACCCGTGCCCCTAGAATGTGATAGAGGGATTCGGAGCGGTAAACTGTTGCGAAAAACAATTCAAGTCATACTGTATTATTATTAACTGATTTTTTTTCTTTATTTCTCTCGTTTGTAGTGTCATATTGCTGTCAGAATCAAGGGTGCGTCCCTATCTATATATTCTAAAAATATATCAGTAAACACAAAAAAGGTGTGAGCGATGATAATTGATTTTCCCAATATACGTATACACTTTACTCGGGCGCCGAGCGATCACATTACTTAATATGTATACTTCTTCTGCAGTAACATTAAATAGAAAGGCAGGAAACCACAACCATGTCGCACTCAAACCAAATAACGGTAAAATAAAACCACGACATACACGTGACCTATCTATATGATATGCATGCATCAAATAATAACTTATTAAGTATTTATGTTAATGAAATATTGATTTACCTAAGCAACGGAATATGTAGAGAGGTTATAATGATCCATAATGAATGATGTTGTATCTATATCAGCATCCTTTGGGAAGATTGTAACAGTGACAGTGAATACATTATTGATATATTCCGTGGACAGAAATAACGGACTACAAATCAGTATAGTATAGTATAGAACGAGTGGTTGAGTGAGTGAGTACAATGGTGTTCCAAAGAGAATGAGGTGAGGTAATATGGGGTTTAACGTCGCGTTCAACATCATTGTACTTACACAGCGACATGCATGCACGTGCGCGAGCATTTGAGCGTGCGTTCGAACGTGTGTGTGTTTGACATTAGATCAAACTCATTTTCTCATGTCGAGATGAGGTGAGCTGTGCTGAAATTTGGTTTAACGTCGCGTTCAACATTATTGTATTTATGTAGCGACGTGTTTGTGTGCGTGCGTGCGTGCGTGCGTGCGTGCGTGTGTTTGTTCATGTCGGTTTTATAGCGCTCGCCCACGGTGATACCATGCCACTGTTTAACATGAATACCCCACTCAGACACAGTATACCGACTCCGAGACAACCAATCCTTGTTTTAGCCCCTGGATCTTTGTCAATTGTTGATACTAGTATCAAGTAAGCCACAACCTTTTACGCCGATTGACAATTATATCTCGACTGGAAGTGGTAGAACGGCTCACGGTAAGTGACCAAGGTCCTGACTGTTTACAGTAACGCCTAGCAGTACGGGTTTGCTGCTGATCGTCCATGGAATATAATAGGAGCCCTTATCGAACCCAAGGCCAGCTGATCCAGGCAGCTAAGGGACACAACTCTGCACACCGATTGGCAACGTCTTCGACCTCTGGGTCATCCGGGCTTCCTGTTAATACACTACACGTGAAAACGCTTCTTTGATGGTCATATCACATTATCAGACTCTCGGGCAAAAGGGGGGCACGGGTGGCCCAGTCGTCTAAGGCGCCGCGATTCGCTGTGCAGAGTTGCGTCCCTTGGTTCGCCCCAATTATGTTTCTAGGTTTGTCAGCACCATACCCGTGCTCGTGGGTTTCCCCGAAGTGGTAAACGTCTGAGACCTGCATCACTTCGGGCTTTCCTCCCACATTAAGCTGACACGCCGTGATATAACTGGAATACTGTTAAAAGCGGCGTTAAACCCAACTCACTCACTCACTCACACTCGGGCAAAAGAAAGTATACACTTGGATTGGATTCGACCAAAATATTACAAACGTTATGAAACTGACGTTACAAGGCTAAAACAGTCACCGAAACACTGCATGTTTTAAGGTCCAAAGAACAACTATGATACCCGTATCAAATACATCACCATCGAATCACCATTTGTTTTATTTTTAGCCACCATCAAACATGGGTGTATACTTATGTTTGCCCGGCAGTGTAATTGGGGCTCAACTCGAACCCAAAGCCAGCGGATCCAGGCAGCAAAGGGACACAACTCTGCACACCAAATAGCGTCATCACCGACTTCTGCGTCACCCGTGCCTTTGGTAATTACAACATACGCGTAGGCGTTTCATCTGATGGCTACATGACATTATTAAAAATAGTACTACGACTTCACATGTTCAAAGCCGCTGCACATTATAATTGTCATTCAAATGGCGAATATACTGGGTGTGTTCGTCATTTTTAAAGAGTGCGTGCAATTCAGTTTGTAAGCGATTTCAACTTCAAACTGAGTATTTCTATGCCAGGTGTGGATGAGACTAGATCACTGTCGTACACCCGTAGAGACATGAAACGCGTTGCATGAACAGCAGGAAAAGGGTGTGGTGATTGGCTGATATCATTGTTTCGTGTAGTATGAATGCGCGAAGCGTGTTCTATCCCTTTTTCATGCTTTATACAGCTAGACTTAGTTTCCGACATAGACTACTTAAATATCCAGGTGACTCCCCTTCGATACAAAGGTACTGCGTGTTCACAGCATCCTGATGCTGCAGGGTCACCGGTAGACTGACATTTAGTCCCAGAAATAAAGTTATCTTTAATATTTAAAACTATATAAATCTATAAAATATAGAAATATAATCCAAATGGAGCCCAGAACAATGACAGAGATGAGGCAATCTAGACTTGCTCTATCATTCTAGATTAGAGCTGGGCTCCTTTTTTAATTTATTCTCTGGTCTGGGAGACTGACTAGATCACCCGTGCTCCATGGAATAGATTTAAGGGAATATCAATGAAGAGAGTTATCACTCCTCTGTGCCCCATTTATGATATTATATATAAAATAAAATAATATTAAGGACGCTTATATAGCGCTAGACTCTACACACCACTAGTATGCTCAAAGCGTGTACAAACAAGACAGTGTTTTTTTATTTATTCACAACGCTGAAACAGGTGTGATTTTAGACGTTATTTGAACGTCGCGAGATTCGGAGACGTTCGTAGTTGCATTGAATGAGAGTTCCATTTTAACGCAGCTTGCACATCAAATGTCAAGAAACCAAACGTTTTCAATTTCGATTTGGGTACAACTACCTGCTGTTGTTGACTAGAGCGGTTGGTTGGTTTGTTGTTTAACGCCGCACTCAGCAATATTCAAGCTACATGACGGCGGTCTGTAAATAATCGAGTCTGGACCAGACAATCCAGTGATTGATATCATGAGCATCGATCCACGCAATTGGGATCGATGACATGTATCAACCAAGTCAGCGAGCCTGACCACCCGATCCCGTCAGTCGCCTTTTACGACAAGCATAGTCACCTTTTACGGCAAGCATAGTCACCTTTTACGGCAAGCATGGGTTGCTGAAGACCTATTCTTCCCCCGGAATCTTCACGGGTCGACTAGAGCGTGGTGGCCTGGTTGGACTGTAGAGTTTAAGCATATCTGAGAGATATTTTGGCGCTATATTGTTGACGCCCTCTTGGTACAATATTCGCGCCCGTAATCGTCTTGCTAGAAGTAATATGTTATGTATACTAATTCGATTTATTAAAAGAGTACTGATTTAGCTGACAAAAAAATTCTTAAACGGATTCACATTGTTCATTTTGTTTCATGGTAGAAAACATTAAAATACGTTTTCTGATTTCTGAGATCCCTGGCAGACTGTTCATTCAAATACATATTAGTTATTTATTCTAAACACCAAAGCCTGTGTTTGTTTGTTGTTTAACGCCGCACTCAGAAATATTCCAGCTATATGACAACTGCCTGTAAATAGTCGAGTCTGGACCAGACAATTCAGTGATTGGTATAAGCATCGATCATTGGGATATGATGACGTGCATCTACCAAGACAACAAACCTGACCACCCGATCCCGTTAGTCGCTCTTACGGCAAGCATAGTGGCCTCTTACGACAAGCATAGTGGCCTCTTACGACAAGCATAGAGGCCTCTTACGACAAGCATAGTGGCCTCTTACGGCAAGCAGAGTGGCCTCTTACGACAAGCATAGAGGCCTCTTACGACAAGCATAGTGGCCTCTTACGACAAGCATAGAGGCCTCTTAC